CTTCTAATTAATAGTTGTTTTTCTTGAAGTTTAATTGTTAAATATGGAGATTTAAACACTCTTAAATAGCCTTTTTTTAAATACATATGTCTGAGTAATTTTCTTTATAAGGTATACACAGAATATGTATCCCTATGAAGAACGTACATTGTATATGCACTATTATAACTATTATTCATATTTCAAATAATTGAATATCAGTATCATAAACTTAAAACCAAACACATTTTGCCTTGATCTGCAAAATGAAAGCTGAGCCTACACAGGCAATTATCTACTGAGCCACAAATGGTGGTGTTACTCTGTTGAAAGTTTCAAGGACTGAGGTCCTGTGTATTTGTCCTGCAGCTTCAGAACATACAGACAGATCTTCAGTAGTACACTGCCTTTTTTTGCACATGATTATTAAGTACAGTACAAGCAGTTCTGATTTCATTTCTGTAAATCCTTGATGCCGTTTCTTTTTTGTTTTTTGGTGATCATTGTGATACCAACAGTTTGAAGGTACATATTAGTTTAATCTAATTCTAATAGAACCTGAGTTCTTGGTTCTTGACACTTAGAAACGTTAAGAACAGCTCAGAGAGCTGAGTCTTCTGGAGAAGTAAAGTCATCAACAGGAGAGCATGACTGAATGTTTTCAATGTATTTTATAGAACATGAGCATTTTTCTACATCCAATTCTGTCATCCTAAATAAATGAACCATCCTCCTTTTCATATAAATACTGTCTACGATTTCCTGTTGAATTTAATTACTGTATCATTTAATTGTTGTTTTTGTACTTATGAAATGTATTTTTGTGGTACATTTTGAACATTAAAATAATTTCTGTATATACATTGTGTTCGGTATTACATATTTGTTATTTCTTCTCAAATTTCTTTTAATTAATTTCTTATATAAATGTAAATTTGCTGTTTTCATTATTTTGAAATAATTTTAGTCTTAATTTTAAGGACAGCTTTTTTTATTTCTGTAATATAACCATATAACAATTAAAATTTTAAAAAAACAGTGATCTGATATCAAAGGACTGTTTTTTTACCAAGATATCAACGTTTAATCCTTACACTATCATCATATTTAATTTTAATGACATTGTTTTCATTGAATTATTTTCTATTTTCTTATTTTATGAATTGCCTATAAAGGGCTTCAAAGCCTAATTAAAGTACTGACTTGTAGGATAATGTTTGGCATAATGTCTAGGCATTAAATAAATTAAACAGCAACTTATTCAAATGGCTAAACTTTTGAAAATATAAAAAGCCACCATTATATTTAAATTAGACCACAAGTGTCTAAATTGCACCAGAACATTGACCTTTTCCCTGTTTTATTTATTCTATATGAAATATCTGTGCTGTTTATAGAATAAATAGTTGGAATGCAACTGCTTTCCAACAAGGATTAGTAGTAGTACTATTGAAATTTATTAAGATTTAAACATGTTAAATATTTGGAATAAGTGCTTCTCTTCAAAGTAACTGAAAGTCTGCTATTAGTATATGTACAGTACTCAACAGAGTAGCATCACAGCTTTAAAAAAAATAAGTTGAAATGGACAATGAACTTTTATGTTGTCTGTAAGCAAGAATCCTTAAAAAAAATGTTTTTATAGTACTTTCTGGGTGGAAAAAATAAAATAAATAATAAATAAAATTCAACATGGCGATCACATAAACTTAAGTGTTGTTTTAGTTTTGTTTTTCAGATATATATATATTAATTGAAATGGAGATCTGTTATTAATTCCATAGTCTCGTCTGCAACATGTTTCTGTGCACTATTCAATATGGTAATTACGCATATATGAAGGACTGGGTTATAGTAAAGTGCAGTAATAAACATGACAAAAAAGGCATTATCTTCAGATTATTTAAACATATGTAAAGCACTCAACTTTGTCCCATTCTGTAAGAACTGTATTACTATCACAACCAGAACATTCAGACTGTTTCAAAATGAGAAGAAAAAACACATTTTCTTTTCACAATTGTGTGAAGACAATATCAGGTATTCATTATTTTACATAAGCAACTGTGAAAGATGACTCCCCTGAATTTTAATTTTAAATTATTTCCTGTTTTTCACTTTTTTAGATAAATTTCAGGGTGAGGGTGCTTCTCAGACTCTTCATGCTCACAGAAAACATCCACTGCACATGCATATAGATTTCTGAGGTTGTGAGATGTTGATAACTACAGGCATTTAGTCAATAAACCAATTCAGCAACAATAAAGTCCAGGGATGGACAGAGGAGATATCTGGAAATTGAAGATTATTTTTCAATAGATCAAGAATGAGATATTTTTAAATGGCAAAAAATAGTAAAATAAGACAAATATGCATGTGGAATTGTCATTACTCTGTAATATATTCAAATTACTGTATTTATTTATTATTTTGATTTCCAGACAAAACCAAATAACTGAAATATATATATATATGACGATAAATTCTGCTGTGTCTTTGCTTTATTACTGGTGCTGGGAATACTTAAGAAAATAAATGACTAAAAAGAATTGCAAGCGGAAATATAATTCAGCATATCAAGACAGAATCATTTCTTCATTCCTTTTTGATGATAGATTTCTGGAGCTCTTCCATTGAAGATCAATCTAAACATTTATCTGAGCTTCACACTCACGTTTCTTTTCTCCCTAATTAATTGAGCTGTGATAGACGACTTTGGTGCACCATTCTGCACATGCACATGTCTGCTTGAAAAAATACTTATGCATTCAAGTGTTTTCATATTCCTAATAGTCAGCACTCATAAAGCTTGAAAGCGAAGATAACAGTAAAGATAACTGGCTGCTTCATCTTTTAATGGTGCTGTTTTATATACTTGATTGTTTTTCATTCCTTTCCATAATGCATTTTTATTGTTTAACCCTTTATTTGGCATACCCTTCAATAATTATAAGTTGTGACTACTTCAGTCTATGTTACCAAAGAACTAGATTCATTGTCTGTGCTTTTTATTAATAATTCAGAAACAGTGTTTCCTTTATACATCATTTGATGGATGGTTGATCTGAACTTATATAAATATACTGTACATAAAATGCTGTTATGTTTGGTTGGCTTAGTATTATTTTTCGATTTTGTCAGCTGGTTTAGGCCACCACTGTCTTCACTGTCACTTGTCTTTTCTCAGTGTGGTTTAGAGTTGGTATGTTACTATTCTCTTCTTTGTTCACTTTATGTGTTTGCTTTTAAAAAAGTTCTCAATTATGTTATGATCCTTCCCAATTTGAGTGTAACGACAAGATTTTTAAAACTTTAAGAAATGTCATAACTTTTTTCTGCTGTCATTTCTTTACCTTTGGATCCTAACTAAAGTCACACTTTAAGTCTCATTGCAACAAAAAAGTGAAAAACATCAGTAATATTTCATTACTAAAAGAAAAGAAGAATAAAAAAATGTCAACACAACATTTTAGTCCCTATGTTGGATAAAAACTCACAATAATTTGTCACTGGTAAAGCTATTGCATCTACCAACGATTTTTTTTAAATACAAAATTAAATCTTATCCTGAAATAGTGCATAAATGGAAAAAAACCTATAATGTCTGCTTGTAAAACTGAACTGACTTCAACCCAAAACACTGAACAGTGCTAAAAAGGCAGTTTACATGCAACTATTTTTCAATATTGATATAGCACAAAGTATGTTTAAAACTCAGGTTTGCTGGATGTGTCTTACTAGAAGAAAAGCTAAATGCACTAACACGACTCTCAAGGTTCATCTGGCCTTGACTCTAATGAACAATTTGTCTAACTTACAACCACAAAACCGTAGTGCAGTTTCCACAGCGTGCTCTCAATGCAAGGCAAGATGTGGATATGCATCGTGCCAGTAGATATTTTACATGCTTCATATTATATCACTTATGCATTACACAGCTGTGTTCGGAATCACATTCATTTAAGGATTCAAATTAGCATTATATTGATTTACAGAAGCACACTAATTTCACACACACAACACGCTCTGCTGTTGACTCTCAGATCTACCGGTAGTTATAAAATTAGCCATTTTTGAATCCTCCCAGCAAACCCACTGGTATAACGGCCCCACCCCCAAAATATTACTTAGTATTATTTCTATGTGTGATGTTTTTCTTTCTGTCTGTATAATAAACCTAAGACATATACCATGTAAAAAGAATGTCTGTGTTCTGGAGACATGAGTCTAGAGACTCTGGACAGCAATGGACCTCTACAGAACTGGGTGTGAATATTTGAAGGAGGGAGATTTCGCTGAAGATAAAAAGCATAATCAGACCAAGCAGTAAACAACACAAAAAAAGCAAGTGGGTGAGACAGCGGTGGGCTTTATACTGAGAAAAGAAACATGCAGAAATTTCAAAAAGGTTAACTTGTTCAAGCTCAGCAAGCCTGTCTCTGTCTTGTCTCATACATCACAGCGTTAAGACTTTTTACAGAAGCTCATATCCTGTAATCTGAAAAAAAAAATCATTTTTTGTGATTGCTTGTGTTTAATGTTTTTCTAAAGTGCATCGTTTATTAATATAACGTGCTAAAAAGGCCATCGAGATAAGGCCGACTGAAAACACACTACCCCAGAATGACATGGCGAGTCTCATGAGTGCTGTGAAGTTTGGGTTTGAGTCAGCAGGTAGAGGCTGGGGGATGGTGTGGGCTGAGTCTGGTTTCAGCAGCACTCTGTGTTCATATGGCTCATAACTTCATTGTCTCCATGACATGTGGAAGCCTGCAGCCTTTTTTTTAAAAGTACTTTTAATTTATATATATATATCTGTGCCTCCCCTTGGCCGTGCTGCCCTTTCTAAGTGAGTAATGGCGAGTGGGTGTTAGCAACCGGCCTGGTATTGTGGCGATGTGGAGCTGACGTGGTCCTGATGGCATGGTAAATTACTTGCAATTACTCACTTCCTAGGACATGTGTGCAAGCTCGAGTCAGATCTGTAGGTAGAGTACAGACACAAACTTTCACTCATAGCTAGGGGTTACTTTACATTGTTGGTCAACGTTTTATAGACAGTAGATTTAATTTTACATGAATTTGCATGCATGCACAAGTCGCAATAAGGGGGCTTGTCTTTTAAGTGGACATCATGCATGTGTGTGTGATTCAACTCTGACCATGTGGAATAAAATGTGAAGACTTCAAAGGACTAGACCGAGATCTTGAGCAAAGGTCAGTCATTAACAATTGAAGATATTGCTATGAGCCCTGGAATCTTGTAAATTCCATGTAAAATAACCTGAGCAGTTTGCTTTGTATAATACTTGAACTCCTCAACTCAGAAAAGCTGTTACATTTGTGTATATGTATATGTATATGTATATGTATATGTATATGTATATGTATATGTATATGTATATGTATATGTTTATGAATGGAACCTAAGAACTTTATTGGTAATTCTCAAGAGTGCAGTGTTACGAAAAACACCTGGAGGGAGGGGCACACACAATGTGTCACACAATTGTAAGATAGAACATTTTTAGTTTTAGCAGATTTGGAACACAATTGTTATCTGATCATTTAATTGATTTATTTGTTCCTCTTGCTGTTTTTGTTTGGTAACCCAATAAAGATAAATGTATGATAAAGATTTTATCGTGGCTGGATTTACTGGTGCTCATTTATATTTTTTTAAATTAAGAGTTTGTTTACCTTACATTCTTAACTACTTATGATACCAGAGGCATTTTTAGTTAGGTGACTGAGACTGGAAAAGTAAGTACTATATAGAACCTACAACTAAGAAGCTGCTTCTACTTCTAGATTTTTGCTTTAGTTAAACAGTAAATTGCTAGGTACAATGCGCAATGCTTTAAATGTAGTTTATTATTTTCATAAAAGCTCAAAGAGAGGTTTCATTCTTTTTCTCAAAAAGAATGCAGGCTTTGCTTTTCTTTCTTTGATATAATCATGTGCAGAAACTGAATGTAAGTGAATTCAAGTGAATGCAAGTATTTGCTCTTTAATTATTATATGCTTATCAGCATACTTCACAGAGCTAATTAATTAGTTACCACTGTTTCTACATTATTTGAAGTAAGTCTTAGGAAGTCAAGGTCAATGACATACCAAGTGCGAAACCAGTTACTTTCCTGCATTTAAGAAATATGATCATTTTAAAAAGAATAAACAACAAAGGTGTTTTTGGTTTGTTGTGTATTCTTTGAAGGATATTTATGATGCAAGCTAACAGTAAATGTGTTTCTGATCACAACACAACCATCACAGTCATTACAGTAATGTTGCTTTGTCTTTTGCAAAATGTGTTTCTTAAAAAATCTGTGTCACAGCAATCCTAAGTTGTTTCTAGTGATTGTGCAGAAGTATTTGTTAGTAAAATACTTTGAGTTGTGCTGACAAAATGATTAGACGTTCTGCTCTTTATTTTTAAGAAAATTGAAAATCCATTACATTAGTCTGTAGGAGCTGTTTATGATTTCGTGTTTGAACATGTATTAAAGTAGGCTCTCTGTTCCTAGAAATAATTGCTGTATGAGTGCAAAGATCCCTACCCTGCTTATGGTTTCCTCACAGATAATAGCTACAGAAATAGCAAGCATATAGGAACAATTATACAGTAATACACCAGAATCTGCTCTGTAACAGCCATTCTAAATTGATGCTATTCATCGTTAATGGTCTTTCTGTTGCAATCAACGTTAATGGTCTTTCTGTTGCAAAACGAATAGATTCCTATGTGTAGATAGATTTCTATGTGTAAAAAGATTAATAATTGAATGGATTTCGCTGAGTAAGGAGCATTGCAAAGTGTCTTTGTGCCTCACAGTAACTAGTAGTTTAACTACTAACTAGTAGACCTTTTGGAATCGTCACATCAGCTGTAGGTACACTACAGTGGAAGTTTCAATGTAATAAGTTGTGTTAACTGTAATGATTATTTTATGTAACCTCTTGTTTGGAGGGACAATATACCACTTTCACTTTTATCATTCTCATTTAATTTGGTTTTGAAACTTATTGTACAATACTAGCTAAAACAATTCAGAGGACAAATATAGGGTGGATTAAATAAATCTGTATAATTGTTAAAAAAATATTTTTATTGATTATTTTAAATTGAGAAAGCCTTTTTAAGCTCATCGTTAAAAAGAATACTTGCATTTCAAATCCTTCTTGCTCCTCCATTACATCTTTTCAGTGTAACAGTTGCCTTTCTGTGCTAATGCTAATTTTTAAGCCAAGCTTCCAATCAGAATGAAGTATGAGTATTTAGTGTGATGAAAACAGTCGTACTGGCACTATGAAAAACCATGATTTCATTGTATGAAAAGCTGAATTATTTTTGGAGAGGAAAACCCCCTTGAATACATTTCCACTAAACAGTTAAAACAGTTTTACCGTTACAAAAATGTGAAAATCTCTTCATCAAGTGTGTCTCACTTAATGCGAGGTAAACGTTCCATTGTCAGGTACTTTTCACAGGGATTTTCTTTCTTTTTAAAAAATTCTAATAACAGAGCTTCAATCTATCATATGATCCTGGGAAGTTTTGTTTCAAGAAAAACACAACTTTCAGCTAAATGAACTCATTCCGAAGTCTGAAGTGATCAGAACGTAAATGTTCCTTTACATAGCTGGAGTAATCAAGCATTACTGGTGTCTATAATTATTTCTTTATACTTTGCAAATGCTTTAGGTGTTTTGTATTAGTACTGTGTGTATTTTGTTGTCACTGTCTCCATGCTTCTTATAAATAATGAAGCATACTAAAGTTGGTTTAAAATAAAAAAGGCTTTTCATACAGGATGAAAAGTACACTGTATTTTTTCCTGATCTCCTTGTATCTAAAAAAAGAAATAAGTAGCTGAATTGCCCAATCATGCAATAGTTTTCTGCCATGGGCTAATGTCCACCTGGGGTCAGGCAAACTAGAATGCTCCTCATGCCACCATTACCAGCTTTCCAGGCATGATTAACAATGGCATGAACCCAAAGAATACAAGATTTCAAGCTGGGAACCCTGGGTTAATTAGGCATCAAGGGAGACCTTCATGAGTCCAGACAAGTGTACAATGAACACCTACTGCTGTTCTGACAGTACAGACAATGGATCTGTTAACCTGAAGTTCTGCTTTAACTATTTTATAAATAATGGTGGCATTAGTTTTAATAATTACAGACTTCAATCTGGTTTCGGAGATACATCATGTGTTATTATTGAAATGGGTTTCTTAACAGTGGGTTTTCCATCCCAGAAAACTTTACAGCTTGCTCTAGAATCAAGCAAGCTGTTCACTTCTACCAAGAACTGTTCACTTCTACCTTATAAAGGTATCTAGTACAAAAGCTGCTTGATATATTTGATGCATTGCTTGCCTTGCAAAGCACTAAGGAAATATAAACAATCAAGAAGAGAGAGAAACGCAAGCCAGAGTTAATAAAAATGATCCGGCCATTCTCAAAACTGTACATATTGTGGTTTAATTATAGTCCTAAAGTCAAGTCAGTTTCAATCAGGGAATATTTTGGATTTTTGTGAAAAAATTGTCTCCGGCCTCCCTGTATAAACTTTGTTTCCATATTAGCCATTTCTTGCCCGTAAAAGTTTAAAAGTTTCCAGAATTCAGTGTGACTAAACTCGATATTCTTGAAGGAAAGAAAAGACGTTCCATGTTCCTCTCCGTAACACTTACATCAGCACCCCCCTACTTTAGTCCATATAAAATCAAGGGCAATTGAATGTGTTGAACAAGATATCATCTTTTCATCAAGAAGCCTGCCGTTCAGAAGTGGGTCATCTTACAAATATATCTTACAGGTATATTTACCAACTCAAAATGCTGTTTGGTCTCAAAAAGGTTATTTCTTATTATATAGTCTTTCTATCCACAGTAACTTGACTGCAGGCTGTTTGCAAAGTACCTTTATTTGTATTACAGAACGATTCCTGTAGTCGGACTACATTTAATCTTTTTCCAGCAGGTGTAGTTCTTTGTTGCCTTGTTTTTTCACGTGAAGTATGATGAAGAGTTTAAACTGGTCGGTTTTCCTATTAGTACTACAGCTATTAAGCAAAGTGGCTTTGAACCTTTCTATTTGTGTATTTAGAGAATACTTTAACCTTAAGAACAAAAACTTCTCACTGAGTATTTGTACTCTCTCAAACCCGGAAACCGGTTCTTTATTAGTAATTTGGTTTTCTTATTATTTCTGTACAGGTGAGTAGCCAATCAGTGCAGAGTGACCCTTGGCCAATCAGTGATGCTGTCCTACAGAACGAGCGTTTCTTTGAACCCTTGCTTCTCCGAAGAGGCCCATGTGACCTAAGCAGCCTGACCAGAAGGGGAGCACAGGCTTCTGCAAAGACGCCCAAATGACTTCAGCTCCAGATCGTGGCAAAGAATGCCTTCCGCCGAAGAAAAGGGAATTCCAAGCCTCGAGACAGAGCTCGTCTGAGCAGCACCCGAAGGATGACTTCAAGCAGCCTCCACCCTACAGAAACCGAACTGGGGGGAAACTAACAGACAGCAAAGAACCGGCCAAAGGACCTCTGCTGGCCTCACATTACAGTAAAGATCTGCTGCCACCACCTCCACCGCCACCACCTAAGTTTATACCGCCTGATTGGACGTTGCAGTGGCCTATCTCCTTTTTCTCCCAACAGCAAGACCGCTATAGCTCTAGCCAGGTTGGAGACAAGCTTAGCTCAAGCTCACCAACTTGGAGGGAGCAGTGTGCAAGGTCTGTGGACCCAGCCGACTCCAACCTCAATCACTTGAGATGGAAACACAAACCAGGTCAAGTGATGCTCCACCAAACCAGAGGACCTAGTTCATACCATTCTAGCTTTGTTGCAAGTACAAAGGATAATTGGGGATGCTTGAATCTGGGCAAGCAGACGTTAGGTCCCTCTGTCCTGTCACCTGGACCCCACTTCTCCCAGCAATCGGCTTATCCAAGAGATCGCATTCACGACAACAGGAAGTACTTTGCAGCAAAGGAGGTCAATGGCCTCGATGGGAGGGACAGCAGGCATGAGCACATCCGCAGGTCAATGCAGAGCCAAGAGTCTGACTACCACAGCAAGACGGAGTTCACGGTCTCTCACGGTGGCTATACCAATGGAAAGAGAAGACACCTGGGAGATCAGAAATGCCTGGCTGTGGTGTCAGCTAAAGACAGTCAGCCACTGGAAGTCCCTAAAGCACATTCCCCGCAGCAGGACAAGGACTCTTGCATCACAGTTAATACACTTTCAGCTGCAGCTACAGAAAAAAGGAGAGTCAATCACGAAGAACGGAATGCCTCCAGCTCCATGAACTCCATGGGCAGAGCTCAAATTTATTATGCCGTTCCGTCTCTGTATCCTGCTGCTCTGCAGGCACCGATAGCTTATCCAATCTACAGTCACCCTGGGCAGGTAATGGCTTTCGGACTGGAGACAGAAGCAGCACAGAAAATGGTGATCTCAGGACTCTCTCCCCTAGACAGGAATGTGGAAATGATGAGAAGGGGAAGATCGCTCAGCCACAGTTTGGATCACTCTTCTGGAGCGCCTATTGACTACTCTTGTTCCTCGCCGGCAGGGTCTCGTTCACAGTCTTCTGCCACAGCCACCTCCAAGCCCTCTCCCACTTCCTCTCCTGCTCCACTTTCACCCCTGGTCCTGACGCACTTCACGAAGGGGTCCCTCATTCAGCTGAGCACTGGCGAGCTGAAGAACGTGGAGGACCTACAAACGGACGATTTCCTGCGCTCTGCAGCTGTGAGCCCCGAGTTTCACCTGAGCTTCTGCACCATCCAGCACATCTCCCCCAGCCCCAGCCAGGGCTGTGCTCACCTTCAAGTGCTGCTAGGAGATCAGAAAGTACAGGTAGGCTTTGAGGGAGACCTGTGAGCTGTCATACTACAGTAAAACAGAAGAGAAATCTCTCTATTAGTATCTATGAAACATTTCAACGTTAAATTTATAACACTTGTTAGTAATGAAATAAAGGACTATATAATATAGCACTGGTTAGAAAAATAAAGGACACACAAACTCAGAATAAACAGTTGTAAAACACAGTTGAACAGCCAATATTTTCTCAATATGGCCCTCAACACTACTGAGATAAATTTTAGCCAAAATCTTGCATTCATATAAATCCCAGAGAAGGGAATTAAAACCAGGGGGTTTCCACTTTAATAGAGCTAAAGTGATTCAACGAGCAGACTAGTGAATATTTGATATCTCATTCTCTTATATTCACATTGCAGTGCACTCATCATAACAAAGTTCTAGTAAAACTTATTACCATAAGAGAAAACACTATATATAAAACTATATATAAATATTTAATATTGAAGGGTCAGGATGTTTCCATTTTAAATTTTGAGACAGTGTTACAGTGTTATTAGTTAAAATAACATTACGATAAACTCAATTTAATTAGCAGATTAGCATTACTAGAAACACCTACAGAACCATCTACTGTTTAAAATCCTTATTTACAGAATGCATCTTGTTACCATAATGTAACTGTTAATACTTTCTGAGATTAAGATGTTCTTGGGTTTAATAAATAAAAAAATATCCACTATTTTTCATTTTGTTATTGCTGTGAATATAAGAGCTTTAGAGTTAGTAGACCTGACTACTTTAGACAAGTGAATTTTATTGTGCATCACCAAAACAGCTTACAAATGTTCCCCACTTGACTTTTAGACAGGTTGAATATCCTTCTATGCAAACAAGTATCTCAAACATACAAGAACAGAATTGAGTTAAGTATAACTTTTCACAAAAACATGTTACTTGTTAAATATATGCTTGTATATGTTGCTTCACGGTATTTTCTTAAAAATATAAGACGTTATGTATGCTGTGTCTGAAAACTTTATAGAGAAGCACTAGTGTTATATTCTACTGGTACTGGCAAAGCCTAAACTGGGAATTTGCCTTTTAATTCCCTAATAAAAATAATTTCTAATGAAAGAAAACATGACTGATGACTGACAGTATTTTATTTTAATAAAGTCAGTTAGGTTTTACCTTTTAAAACATATGGATATTATCAAGAACCTCTTTTTGTTTAGGAAGAATAAATGTTTGGGAACTAATAGATGACAGGTGTCTCTTGTTGGTCAGGTGTCTGTTGTTGGGTAATTAGGCACTAATATAGTAGCTGTGGACAGCCTATTCTCTTGTTTTTCTTTGGACTCACTTTGGAGTCTGTAGTAGAAAACCAAACAACTTCCAGAAAAGAAAGCATTTTGATGCTAAATGAAAAATCTTACTCTGTAATGGGTACTGGGTACTGGACATTCCAAAATTAACCATTTGGAATAAAGGCAGGGGGGGGAATCCACTTGTGTAAATACTAATCAGCCAAGAAAAACATTTCAGTTGATGGCAGGCAAATTATCAGAGATGTCAAGGAAACCCCTAATACAACAGGCAGTGACAGTATCAAAATCCCATTTTCAGAAGATTGAGACCATAAATTTACTGCATTACAGAACATGAACTCCGATCAACTCCGATCAACACCGAGAAAAAAACAGTTTCAAATTTGCTCAGAAGTAAAAAGAAAAGTTTTACTTCTAAAGTTTTACCGAGAGGTTTAAGCATAGTTTTATGGACAGATGAAGTCTCATACCAAAGTAATGAGAAAGAAATTGATGAAATTTCAGAATTATCAACTTATCTATGAAGCATGTCTTGAGCGTGCATAGCAGCCTTGCTCATCTTTATTGATGATTTACCCAAAGATGGTGGCATCAGAAAGAAAATTGAAGGTCACAGAAACATACTGCTTCTGTAGAAGAAAATGCTTCCATAGTTATTGGGAGGCACTTTACCATGCAGTATGACAATGACCTAAAACAGATATCAATTCAACTAAGGAATTCAGCAGGAGAAATGGGAAAATATTCAATTGGTCAAGTGAATCTCGAGATTTAAATCCAATTGAGCATGCATTTTACATTTTGAAGAAGTAAACAAAATCAGAACCCCCTAAGAAAAAGAAAAAATGCATCAAAGCATCTCACACAGAGTTTGGTGAACTAAAGAAGCCAAGTTTTCATGCAGTTATTGCATCAAAGGGATGTGCAAATACTAACTTTTAAATTACAATTGATTTAAAGTGAATGGGTCCCAATACTAATGGTTGTTTGAAATCGCTGTTGAGCACAAAGGATATTTTTGTTTTGATGTGCTCAACTATATGCACGGAGTTATCCAAAACTCAAACATCAAATTGTTCTTCATTCACCCGTTTTCAAACTGCTTTATCCAATTCAGCATTGTGGGGGAGCCAGAGCCTATCCCAGAAAGCAACAGGTGCAAGGCAGGATACACCCTGGATGGGACACCAGTCCATCACAGGGTACATACAGATACAAACACTCACACCAGAGCCTGGTTCCCAGAAGCCAAATATGTATGTTTTTGAACTGTGGAAGGAACCCAGAGCACCCACCTAAAACCCACACAAATAGGAGATAATGTATAAACTTTGTGTTGCTGGAATCCCTTGTCTGGAACTGAACCCAGGTCTCCAGAGTTAATTTAGCAATTTCTAGCTTGTCTACATCTAGATCAGATCTAGAACATTGATAAATGAAAATGTATAATTTTACATTTTATTATGTAATATTACAATATTACAGTATTACAATATTACAGATCAACAGTATATCTATCGGAACAAAATGTATGTCAGGTACACAGTGATCACATTTATTCATGTCTGTTAAATATGTTGAAAACAAGTTCTTTTTTGCAGTTTCACGAAGCCTCTGGAACTTTATTAAAGCTTCTGAAAGTCCCTTTTATTGCCACTGCATATAAAATCTGCAGAAGCCATCCAGTCAAAACCTGCAGTTATGTAGTAAGAGAATTTCCAAAATTCTGAGACTGAAAAAAATCTGAGGTTATGACTGGTCCAAATGGATTGGGACCATGTGTTGTGACTGGACAAAACAACAATTGCACTCTTTGGACAGGGACATACTGTAAGTGCCAAAATGATTTCCATGCCCTCTATGAGCAAAGGGAAAAGTGTTTTGGAACTGTTTTGTGTTTTTATTCTCCAGTATTGGTTGTCCTTGCTAGAATCGTGACAAATGGATGCTACAGCACCACAGGGTATTTGAGCCCCAATCCTTGCGCCTTCTGTTGAGAACCAAGAAGCTTGGTCACAAAAGAGCTTTCAAACACATTAACCACTCAAAGCGCATAGCAAAAATGGAAGCTTCAGACTTCAGTCCCATACGGGATTTGCAGTATAAACTGAAGCGGTGTGCAAACACAAGCCATTCTGCTGAATGGAGGAGAAAATTACGAATGCCCATTGCTAAGAGCCCAAACTCTTTGTGTGGTTAGACTAAAGGATGCACCTTCTCCCAGTTATCAAAGCCAAGAGAGGCTGCATGAAAAACCAATTGGCTGGATGTGAAATCTGACTATTATGCATCGGTAGGAGATACCTTAACCAACTGACAAATCCTTTATGCGGTGTAAATTACATTCAAAGCTGTGCATGACAACACAGTATATAACACACTACAATTCGTGGATTACTTTTTTTCTTATGGTGTAGGTGCCATTCATGAACCTACACCAGTTGGATTTGGGCAGCAGTGTTGCTATTTGTTCACCGCTGGTCTTTAGATTATCTCTAAACTATTCATCCACAACTCAAGAGTGAATGTGCGCATCGTCTGGGAATGGCAATATAGTCACTTCGTGGTGCTGAAAAAAGGGAGGCTTTTAATATAGAAAGTGTCTTTACAGAAAGGACAGAGAAGTGGAACCTTGAGTACAACTTTCACCTGCCTGAAAAATCATTTAAACTCCTCTTATTCTTTCTTCTCATCAATTTAAATCATTTTTTAAACTCTTTGTAAATACCTCTATATAAGATCTCCTCAAACATAAAAGAAATAACAAATTAAATTAAACATTCTGTATTCACTAATTTTGTGTTTTATTTGAATGAGGTATTCAGCAGTAGCTTTGATAACTTGTAAAATCTTTGTAACCTTTGTAGCCTTTGTAAGCCTTTTATGCCTTTCTAACCTAAGCAAGGTTGGGCCCTGCTGATTTTGACTGAAGAATTTTTTTCTTAATACAATTAGTGAAGTGGGTTTATCCACATGATCAGCTGCGTAGTGGGGTCAACTGGTGCAGAGTGGTTGCAATGCGCCACTCAAGTGCGTGTTGCACTTCATTCACGGATGAAGTAGAACACCTCCTATATGTCCTACAATGACAAAACACCAAGAGATGCAAGCAGTTAATATATCTCGTGTTTGTTTTTCTTCCAGGAGTTGCTGAAAGTCTTAGTTGAATACCCATTCTTTGTCCGCAATCAAGGCTGGTCTTCCTGTTGCCCACAGAGAACACTCCAGCTCTATGGACTTTCCTGTCATCAGCTCATGGTTGGAGATGTCTGCCTCGTGCTCACACCTGCACCCACACCCTCACCTGTGCCATCCACAGACCATCAGGGCCAGACCAGTGGGAAGAACTTTGTCGTTCCGCCAAGCCGCCAGACAGACACTGCCCCACAGACCAGCACAGGGGCTGTGGAGAGAACGTCCAGGTCTGGAAATATGCCCCCTTCTTCTTCTACCCTGAGACTGACCACTGAGGACACAGTGACGTCGGACAAGCGTCAACAAAGCAGGAAAAGGCGATGGTCGGCCCCAGAGTTTGTTGGAGCTCACAGGACCCCTGTAGATTTACCTCACAGTCCCAAACACGGAAAGCAGCAGTAGCAATCAAGTACTGCCAAAGAACTGCCTCGTAAATGAGTGCTGTTGACTGTTCATTTCAAGAAGAAAAAGGAAGTTCTCAGGATTCAAGGTTGCAAGCAGCTCTATTCAGGCAGAAGCAAGTAAAATTATATAATCTTTTTTTTTTGTGCTCTGTAACAACAAGGGAACCAGATGCATCGTGTTTATGTTTTACCTGGGGAGTGTCTGGAATCAGAAGGGAAATTCTTTAAAGAAAGCGGAGACCTTTGCTAATACAATCAAACTAATTAATGTATGTGTTTCCATTTTTCCCCATAAATCACTGTCTCTTGCCCATAAAAATAGTTTACTGCAGGATTTTTAATTTTTGTTAACCTAAACTCAGTGATCCCTTTTTTAAGAAAAATAGTATAAACACAATATTCAGATCTAAATAATGATGTCAAATTGACAAACTGTTTCATTTATATGGAAAAGATGTAAATTGAATCAAGCAGACATTATTAATGAATTTGTCAAGCCTTTTCACTTCGTCCAATATCCTGCTTCACTAAGCATTATCCTCCAATTTGTTCTTAACATTTTTTCAGAAAGAATTACAAAACAACACTAATGGAAGTTATGTAACAGACAGGCACAGTTCATATGGATTATTCCGAGTTGCTCTGTGCAAAAGTCATTCCTAACTTGCTTTCTGGCACTCATTAGTGTTTCTACAGCATGTATTGAGATATATGGTGCTACTAACATGTTGGAACACAATGCTTTGTGAATTTTTTCCCATGTTCGTTTGTGTTTGTGTATGTGTTACAATGCAGGGAAAACAACAAAATAATTTAGATACGGGTATCCCTTATCCACCCAACTCTTTTAGTTTTTTGACTGAGAAAAGGTTTTTTTGTTTTATTTTCAAATGTTACAGCTATAAAATTGTATTTTTTAAATATTGGATCTGTAAAACATTGTTGGTTAGAAATAAAGAAAAGCTTTATAGATTTATAAGTATACAGGGCTGTTTTTGGTACTCAAAATTGGACTCAAAACATATGCATTTGCTGCTTATCATTCAAAAACTGAGAGTAGATGTGCTTTGGTGTCATTAATTAAGTTGTCGTAAAAGGTGTCTTGGCAGCATTTTAAGAAGACTTAATTACTTTATTTTGGTAAATGTGCAACAACAGAAGTTTTCAATCAAGCTCTGGAGCAGAAGGACTTCACTCTTATAGGAATGTATAAGGGAATGAAAATGGAAATGCTTACCATGAACTGATTTCAATGCCACCTGAAATCCGTGAACTGCAAGAAGAGATTAAGATCTGCAGAAGATTAGGAAAAAATCTGAAGTTTCTCCTTGCAGCTCTTATGTGCTGTAAACAAATAGCCAAGGTGAGCTCCATTCTTGGAATAATACAGGTGCCACATGCCAATGTTATCTTTTGTTATTTTCCAAAACAAAACCATATACAGGTCCATACCAATGTAGTGTATGTACTGTAGTGTAAGCAACTCCCTAAGCCCTGTTTCCTACACACCACTACCTCAATTCTTTTCAGATAAGTATGTCAATGGGTTCATTAAAGTTTGGATATCCCTATGGTTAAGGCATTCTGGTATGGCTGCGGTGGTCTATCTCAGATCTGAAGTCTCCCTCCTCAATAAACAAAGCAGCTGAATGACTGTGGAAACCTGGTATTTTTACCAAGGCTGATGCACAGTCCATAGTGTTTGGTTTACGTAAAGCGCTTTGAGTGGAGTGTCCAGAAAGTGTAAGAAATTCCTAATTATTATTATTAAATTAGAATAAAAAACTTTGAGTAGCATAAGCTTCAAGGTTATTTTTAGTTGAATGGCTAACAGAAACACCTGAAAATGCACATGCCTAAGAAACGTCATTTCTTACAAACATGGATTTTTTAATTACAAGTATTTCCTAGGCTATAAAGAAATCGAAAACAAATTTGTGAACTTACAAAAACAGTAGCTGCAATAATTCATTGGTACCACAAGAGGCCAGTATTTAGTCATAAAAAATTAATACCTCTACAGTTTTTACAAAGCTGCTTTTCTGTACTCTATTTTCCATTGTAGGTGGATTCCCCTTAACCAACACAATAACAATGCATTGCTATTCACAGTGTAGTAAATTTATCTTCGCCCATTTTATGGTACATTATGTTCAAAACATAGTTTCAAATATTCATAATATTTAAATGAAGTTTCAAAACATTTTTTTCAAAAAAATCTTTAAGCAAATGATTTAAGCAATTTTATAATTATATACCATATGATTTCTCTTTAAAAAAATAATGATCTTTAAAAAAATACTCTTAAATTAGTTTACATATATGTAAGAAGTAGATTAAATTCATTCCCACAAAGATAAGAAAGGTTAGAAGAGTGATCTGGTGCATCATTGTTGGATGTGCTTTTTTTATCCTTTGTGTTAGCAGCTGTGCCAAACTCACACTACTAAAGCAGTCTGAATAAGCACTGTATGTTCATTTCCAATAAATGAGTATATACAAATATACTTTAAGACAAACATTACAAATTACATTTTTAAGACTTGAATAATCTGTGTATTGATTAATTTTGACTGTTTTTACTTAAATGGTTGACATTAAACAGAACATATGCTACTGTCCAATTTGTACATTTTAAATTAGCCCCTTAGCTTCTCTAAAGAGAATCCTGCAGCCTACAGTTTGTCACAGGGTACTGACAAGGCCAGCCCATCACACTTCTTCAGAACAATCAGTGAAACACAAACCAGAAGGCAGAAGTGAAAACTATATGGAAGTGCGCTTAAAGTTCAAGGCACTTCTTCGCTGTTAAAATTCGTAAGAGTCTGAAACAAACTACCCAGACGTGATGTTAAAGATGATTTCAAGAAACAGTTGAATAAGATCCTTGGATCAATTAACTACAAACAACCAAATGGGCTGGACGGCCTTTCTTTAGTAACTGTCCTTATGAATGTGGAGAGAATCCGACTGTGGTCTTTTCTGAGCTGTAGTGTTGTGTTGCATGGGACAGCCCCTGGTTTTCCTATGGGGGAAGTACTCATTGCTGGACCTGTTTGAGGACAGTCTGCTGGATGTTGTCCGATTTGCTCTTCAGTGGCTGGATTCTCTGGCCTGCCTCCACCCCAGTCCTCTGGATGTTCATAAGCAGCTTTCTGACAAACAGGGGCTCAATCTGCACAAGAGCAAAGCACGGTTCGGCTGTATTACCATTCAGGTCAGTACACTGACTCTGTCCAATCACAGAGTCTTCTGGGAAATACCACTACATCATTAGGCTTCCATGCACTGAAGCTACTAGACATTGAAGGAAGGTTTTTTTTTGTTCCCACATTTCAAACTGGTCCAGGTCAAACAAGATGTAGTTGATCCAAACTTGGCAACTGCTACTGTATGTGACAAAATCTGTGATCCTGCATCAAGTAAGGTGGTGGTCTGACCCACGCACCTGAAAAACATTTCAGACGTCTGAGATAATATTGAATTAAAAACTGTAGGTTTTCTACTGACAAACTACTGTGATAATATTTATGTCCATGCTGGGTTTTCGAAATCTTCTTGATGTTTAACTCATACTACAATCTGTTCCCGTTCAAAAGCTGCTTGGTCTGCTAACTGTAATCGTGGGAGGTATCATTCTAGTAACAATGCATTTAAATACGATAAGCAGGGATTCTGGTGAAAAAGAAAATGGCTGCCTGACCACCATTTCCTCCTCACATTTCAAACTTTCTCTGTTCTAAAGTGGTTTCTGTACAGAACTGGTAAAATAGGATTTGTTGTTTCGCAATATGACATTCTGAACATCTTTCTACGCAATGTTCTGCATAACACACTTGACCACAAATTCTTGTATTAATGGTCAGAACTGTGTACCTGAGTTGCTAGCATCAGCCTGGACACTTGTGATTGACATGTGACAGTAATATTGCAGCTATTTCAATTCAGATAGTGCCTGAACTTTTAAAAATCATCTTCAAGATCATTATTTCAGAATTGCATTCAGCATCAACTTGTAGTGATATATTTCAATATCGCGATGGGGGTAATGATGTATCTGAATGTAGCCACAAACTTTCAATTCACTATTTTAAACAATTAAAATAATTTTCTTATTTTATACAAAAATATTTTTGTTTAATTATTTAGCCATGACAAACTTGATATTTATCAAATATTGTGTAACAAATATTTATGGAATTCAAATATTGGTAAATGGTATTCCTATATAACAAATGGCAGAATTGCAGAGCTTATATTGATAACGCATGTAAGTTATCATACACCATTGTAAAAAGTGTAGCTCAGTGACGGATAACTATATTCATAGTAATTTCTGCGAGTCTTTTCTGCCCTCTGGTGGTTACTATTTAATTGAAACAACTGATCATTGCAAAAAAGGTAACACTTTTTGCCTGGTCAGCATACCAGACATCTTTTTTTTTTATCATGTCTCGTTCCTGCCTCCTACTAGCATTTTAAATCAAAGTGTCTCAGTTACTCAGCTTCACTCCAAGAGCTACAGAGCAAAAAAACACACCTTTTGGTTTCTAAGTACAAAACTGGCAGCAAAAGCACTGACAGCCCCTGACCTGCTGCATCATGGGATTTGATAGTTACTTGTTACTTACTTGTGCCATAATGAGTTTCTTGGCTTTGCTCTGGTTTGGGTCAGGGAACTCTTCTCCGAAACACAATTCAATCTGGTAGTGTGGAACTGGACGTCCAACCCGTAGGTACTGCTGTACTTCTGTGAACAGGATGAGAGGAGAGTTAAATGATTCAAGACACTTTACTCCAAAGCACTCTATGCCATGTTTATGTTAATTAAATCAAAGTGTTTCATACAGCACACTTAAAACATTTATCTTTCAAGTTTTTGAAAACTAATTAGTCAGTTTGTGTTAGTTTGTTTGACTTTAGTTTGTCTAGGCTTTTAAAGCAGTCCCAATTCCTCAGACTGGATATTAAATCTCAGTAAGAATGTAAATTCATTGATGTTAATTTACAAATTTTGGATTAAGCACAAAATCACGAACTTTGTGAAAGTACTGTAAATGGCCATTGTTTTGCAAACTCACATACGATGTGAATGAATTGAGAAATGATAGACCCCTTCCTGCTCACAAGTCTTTGTAATGACTAATGTTACTCATCATTCACATTACGGGTTGTGCAGCAGGCATTTCACCACAGAAATGTTTCAACATGATCTGCATGCAGAGTTAACTAGCAAGTAGTGTTTGTCGGTAACACAGTGTTGAAATCGAAAGCAATATTTCTAGATTAAAAGAGATGTATTCACAAGCCTGCTTCTTTACAATGTCATAGGGCTGCACATGTCACAGGAATTTTGTTGTCTCGTTTCTGTATTGCAGAATATGGAGCTGCACATACCTGGAAATTTCTCTATTTTTGATGTAAATTGAAGGTTTTACAAGTCACTGTGTACTTTTTACTTTTATTGCGGTGTGAAATCATCAATCCCAACACTTTTTGAATCCCAAAAGATGAATATAGCATTGCAGTTCCCCTTTAATATGAATCTATAAAACATTAATTTCCTTATTTTACACAATATAGGGTTTGTCATCACATAATGTCCTGCACAACGCTTCTAAAGCAAAAAGGCTCTCGGTCAAAGAATAGCATGACAGCACATGAAACAGCTTCGGGGGTTGACCCCAGGTTTGCCTCCTCAGGTCCCTGGCCAGCCTTTGTGCCCTTCTCAGCCCCACCTTGTAGGAAGACTTGCATGTCCAGCAGTTTGCAGGTCTTCTCGCGCTCCAGCTTGTTGGGCAGGTTGTGGTGCTGAGCCAGGGGCCCGTCCCAGTACACGCGGCCCTGGCAGAAGCGCTTGATGAAGACCCCGTCGGGGGCCACCCACACCAGCACGCCCCTCTCCAGGTGGGGCAGCAGGCGGGCCATGGCCTCAGTGACCCGCAGGGAGGCCTGGGCGCACTGAGGGGAGGGGAAGTGCAGAAGCTCCACCGCGGTGGGGCCGTAGATGCGCTCGTTCTCCACCGGCACAGACCCATGGAGGATGCGGCAGCCCTCCGGCGTGCTGGTAGTGAAATCCTGCACCAGCTGGCCCTGGTAATACAGACGCACTTGCAACAGGAAGTCTGTGGGGAAGCAGGCACAAAGATGTCACCTATTATCCAGACCAGAGTGAAGTACATCTTACCATAATGTATAGTACCAAGGCTTCATACCCACTAGTGATTACGCAAGCAGCCACTAGTGGTCCATCGAGTGCACTGTGCCAACTTCTAGGTGTTTGTGCAAATATTTTTCATCTAGGTGGATGCTACACATTGGTGGTGGTGGAGGGGAGTCCCCATTACCTGTAAAGCGCTTTGTGTGGAGTGTCCAGAAAAGCGCTATATAAGTGTAAGCAATTATTATTAATTATTATTATTTTGGTTGTAAGGGATTCTGGGATAGGATTGTCAGCTCAGGCTGAATGTGAATTTGATTTGAATTGAAGAGATTTTCCGTGGAGAAGTTCTGCTTGCATAAGAGACATGTTCTTATGTGAAAGTCAGATTAGGGATTTTTATCCCAAACTGAATCCATCCATTTAAGGGAGATTACTCATCTTTCCTGGAGACTCCAAGACAGTTCTCCTCTGGGACTGACTAAACACTTCCATATTTGTCATGTTGCATAAGTAATTGCTTTAAGTAGGTACACTATGCTTCTCTGGGTGCATATTTGTAATTTTAAGGAAATCTAAAACATACCATTTCTTAAAGACAATATGACAACTCATATAAATATATAGAACAATAATTCAGATAAAATACTTTGATGATCAATATGGGCACACTCCACTTTAGCTAAATATTTTCAGCAGTGTTTGCAAGACATTCACTTTTATTTGTGCATGATAAATACACAGGGACGGAAGTAAGGTCTCCAAAATCTGACATTAAGATACATTTTACGTAAGGGATTACCTTACCTGATATCTGGAACTGCGGTGAGTATGTAGGGCACACTGTGGGCTGTAAGGTAATAGGTGTCTCAGAGCCCTCAACTGCTGTCATTGTCCATGAATAAAATTTTCCCTTTACTTGTTTTGCTGCATAAAAACAACATGATTATCCGTGACACACATTCCAGGAATCTGCTGCTTGACAAGCTCTTGAAATTTGTCTGGTCTACAACATTGTGCCAGTGTAATATTTATTATGTATTCATTTTGCTCCTCGCAAAAACAACATGAGAAGCCCTTAACAAGAAGAACTCTCAGTACTTCCCAGGTGAGATACAGGGTATGTTAAAGGAAGCTCCCCTCTCCCTTACTAACTTGTTTAAACCTGTCAGAAAACAGTTAAAATGTGGAGAACCCATTGAAGACTTTTTAATTACAAGAGGAGGTATCCTGCCTTTTGATTCACTTCCAGGCTTTGAGTTCTTTTCAGTGATAATGAAAGAAAAGTATCCTGTGATTTTTTTTTCTTTGTCAAGCATGATTTTGCATGCATCTATTCAGTGCATCCTGCATGAACTGGATAGATTTAATACGGAAACAATTGCCTGAGAAATCAAACTGCAAGAACATGCAGTCAAGTTGTGTGATTCAGGAACACACCTTCTTCTATCTTCCATCATTAAGACTGAAACTGTGGTGATTCAAATTAAGGGAAAAGGCAGGGAATGTCATTTTGAATTTAAACAGGTTTTATGTTCTGCAATGTTTCAACAGATATCTCACATACAACAATGTGTTTAAAGAGGAGGATAACTGGAACTGCCTTAAACTCAGCAAAAGATCCTTTTGAAATCATAGGACATGTAGAGATTAATTCCACACTGGAAAGCAGAAAAAACACAACAATCTGTTTAAGAGCTTCACCTCAGAATTAACCTCTACTTGTTTCCATGCAGCCCAGATGCCAATACAACCCCTCACGGGCCTCTTTAAAAACAAAATGCATTATTGCTACTGCGCCTCACTTCACAGTCTGCCGCGATTTATTGTGGACCAGGTCATGGAGTGAACTCACGCCTTCACCAGAGCTGCGTTTTAAAGGGCAACGGTTCTGGAGGCGACAGTCTCTCACCGCTGTCAGGAGTGGCGCTCTGGACCAGCGAGTGTGACTCCACAGAGGAAGCAGGCTGGTAATGCAAGCTGTCAGCATCTGTCCTTTCTCTCCATTCCTGCTCCACCTCCATTGGGGCACTGAACTGAGGGAAGCAAACAACAGAATCCCAGCCACGGTCAAGCACTGGTTTCCCCCATGTACTACCTACTTCACTTCATCGGATCATGCATTTACTTAGCTTTGCCAGGGTTTCCCACTGTTTGCATTACACAGTAGTTTACCATCCTTCTTCATGCCTTTACCATTGTATCACTGTGCTTTTCCTACAGCACACCACAGTAAACTAGAGAGTTAGGCAACAAGGAGAGTGCAACAGGTTTCTTTCTAGGTGATGAAGTGGTCACAGGCAAGTCATTCCTTTTAGATAACATACTGCTTGGTCTCTAGAGTCTTTGTTAACTTATACCCTTCTTTTAACCCTCTGTGGTTCTATGCACCTAAGAAGACTGTCCTTTGTGATTTTCGTGGCTAAAGACTTGAACTAATGCTTATGTCTTACGATAAATAGCGGTGCTATTTTTTCTCTGCCACTACATGGGTGGAGGTGTTTGTGGATGCAGATGGGCAGACAATAGAACAGTAAAAAGATGGATCAGCTATTACCTGTGAGTGCAGGCTAGGGGTCACTATATGGGGTGAAGCAGTCCGACCAGTGCCAAAGATGACAGGGCTGCTTGGAGACTCTGAGAAAAAGAAAAAGTGTCAGGCACTAATAACACATTCAAACACGCAGTACTATAATAGCTAATGTAAAATCCTGTCATATCAGACATCTCGATGTTGAGCTGGAGAATGGTGAGTATTTTAAAGCTGCTGCAGGCTAAATCATAAACCTTCAAGCCTTTACTAAATGAATGCACATGAAGGCTTAAGTATTTTGGTTCAATACTGAGACATGATCTTTCACGTTGATGATGAACGGGCTATATGAGGAACCGAAAGGAGAAAAGGCAGCTCTTGACAGTTTTATTTCTGTTTTGCACAGGACGTCATTATAGTTAAACAGCTCCTATTTTCTGTGCTGCCCAGCAGTTGCAATGCCAAGGCCTATATTAACACTGTGGTGTCTCTGTCCTTCTTCCTACCTGCCCTCCTGCCACCCTCAGGCAGGATCTCGTACACTTTGTAGGGCTCAGAAATGTCCAGCTGACTGCGCTCGGGCACCTCCTGGAAATCGGTGCTCTTATTGAGGGCACAGCGCAGCCTGGTCTTCCAGGTGGAGGGGTCCACCTTGTCCTTCCCCTCCCGGTACTTCCCCTTGTAAACTGCCCAGGCCTGCAGCACACAGAGGGGGCAGCTTGTTACAGGCAGCCTCATCGTGTCCTGTGCTCAACTCCATGGGTCACTGCAGGCTGCTTTATTTACTGACCACATATACCTTTTATAATATGTGTGATATGCACTGACACTTATTGGATTTTTTAAATTAAAAATTAACACCATCATCTTCTTCATTGTTTTTATTATTATTATTTAATAGAGACCTGGAGCCTATCCCAGCAAGCAACGGGCACAAGGCAGGGTACACCCTGGATAGGATGCTAGTCCATCACACTATTATTTTATTACTTATATTATGATGACCATGATGATGAAATATTACACAAAACATGCTTATTCTCTTTAACATAGTAAACACCAACAACAATATGGTACTGGGCTTCCTAGCAAAATTGATACATGCTGGTTCCATTAGAGCTGACCATATTTCACAAAAATGACTATTGTAGATCTGACATTTAGGGTAGGTCAACGTTATCTATGTTTATTGAATTTATTTTATGAAGTCCTGGAAAAAATGTTTCTGAATCATATTACCTAAAATACTTACACAGTATATACAATATATATGACTCTTACCCTTTCACTTTCACTTTCTGAAGGATTAACTTCTAAAACCGATAAATATTTATTTTCTGTTTTTAATACTTTGTTTTCAGCAATCATACTTTTTCTAAATACGTTTATTAAAACATAACGTTTTCATGTTGGTTATTACGCTCCTTTCTAATTATTTATTTAATTCAAGAAGTTGTTCTAGTTTTGAAAGTGAAAACACTTAATTCCAAATTTAATTAAACCAGACTGTTTGATAAATATGTGACAGCCCATTTACATTGTCAGTCAAGTCAATTATGTTAATTTTTTACGATATATTAACCTATGCGGGTGGGTTTCAAAAAGAGCGCATTCTTTAGAAAAATAATGATGTAGTTAACTGAACGCTTAAATAGAAAGTCCCAATTACAAAATAAATTTAATATCGTCCCATAATCTTCTGAAATTGCTGCTCCCTTTACTTTTAATGTGCCATAATCTTGCAACGCAAGAAAGCACTAGTGTTTCAACACTTTGTTGGACCGCGATATATATGCAATTAACATAAATGAAAAATACCTTAAAAAGTGCCGCGTCTTCATTCTGGTTGTAGTCTTGCTTGGCAGCGTGTTTCCAGGGGATCCTAAACATAGTTTTTTCCTGGTTTTCCCAGCTAAGCCCCGCATATTTCCCGCTGTCTATCTGAGTAATCAGCCACTCTCTCAGACGCATATTCCTGCAGTTGTCTTCCATCTCAGACGAGAAATGCAACAAATGTTAAAATTGCAAGTTTGTAACTACAATTTAACCACTTTTCTGTCTGATAGTGCACCTCAAGAAACTCCACTATGAACAATAACTCCCACTGCACGTTTGCACACGAAAAATTCTTCTTAGACAACGCATATAAGTGACCAAGTGATAATAACAACCCCAGATAAGAACAAGCTATCCAGTTCTAAACATATTGTAAGTCTCCCCCTGAATGATGTATTTTTAAATGTATGTCTAAAAGGATCGTGTGAAATGCATCTTAAGGCTAAAACACGTCTTGAATCGAAAGTAAAAGTTTGAAAGTCAAACACTTTCGGTTTCCCGTTGTTTTTTTTTTTAACCTCTGTATTTAGGTAAAGATCAACGTCTGAAGTTGTAGTACTGTATTTTAATTCCAGACTGAACAATACGAGAATAGAGTAATTCTGGCATTACGTTAATTTATAAACCTGGAAATACCATTTCATTCATCTTTCGCTATGATTTTATGAAAGTTATATTTAAATTAGTTCCTGGTTACAATATGACCACTGTATGTCAAAGTTCTGTGACACCTGCCACTCTTGAATGGCGTCTATATTCTAGCCTGATTTATTTTATTAGAAGTTAGATAGTTACTTCATGCGTGGGCGAGTGCAATTCTGTGAATATGTGCTGGGGGGGTTTTCCAAAGGGACTGACAAATAGTTTTAATGTGTCTCAGTGCGTTTTTATTTTGACATGGAACATTTCTTCATCCTACTCGTCTAGGAAGCCCCCCCCCCCACAACCCACCAACACCAAGCCCTCACCCCCCACCCACCCATCTGTCGTTCTTGACCTGGTCAAACTGTTGTAGATAGTAATTCACTGGCAGCTGCTTAATATTTCTCCAAGAAATACCAGTCTATGTAAAAATAATGTTACTGTAAAGAACATACTGTTTCAAGGAAATTACACAAGAGAAGGCGAAAATTTACCCTTAAAAGGCCTTTAGTGTGGCAGTACATACAATGTAATTTCAAACCTAGCAGGTGTGTCGAAATAGGCAGGACTTCAATTATGTCCCTAGAACATTGATTTGTAATCCCTGTCGACTTCTTTGCCATGGCTGAGTTAGGCCGTGATATTAATTAAAAAGAGTACAAATGAGAAAGTAAATTGGATTCAAAGAATTTCTGCTGTATGCTTATTGAATTCTGTGTCTGGCCCAGCAGGTTACAGTTTAACTGTTATCAATGCCAGACAGATAGACAGGTAACACATATATAAGGAGATGAAATTAAAGATAAAGGCCGCTGTTTCATTGAATCGTCTGGCTAGGGTTTTTCCCTCACCCAACCTACTGGCTGCTAGGCTGAACTGTGACTGTTGCACCCTTTATCACAACTGAATTCACCACAGATTATATTCTTGTGGAAGCCGTGTGACTTCATCAGAATTCAAGGGCACAGGGACCACACCCTGGATGTGACACCAGACCACACATACATCCACAAACACATAAGGATATAGGACATATAAAATGATTCTACAGTTAGTTTTAGCCAATAAGAAAAGGCTTCATTCTTCACAACGATTTTAAATAATGCACAAATGTAATGAAATATTTTATATACCATATCAAGCTCTTATTTGTCACTTTCTATATATTGCCAATATGCATAAAAGAAGGCTGTACATGGTGCCTAATTCATGTCTGGACTCCTGTTTGAATGCAGGATTCATTTGCTTTGGCAGAAAAGATCCTATCTGAGCTGTTCTTCTTTGGTCTGCCTGTTTCCTGCAACCTCACACATATTTGTGATTTTCAGATAAATTGGGCTCAGATCAAATAATCCATCTGAAATTTCGGCATTCTGTTTCAAAGGAAATAGAAAAAAATGAACCAGTATCTTCATCCTACAACTGTCTCGTTGGCGGTGATACACTTTGACATTCTAGTTATTCATCATGTTATTGTTCTATATCTCTGTTTAATTTATTCTGAAGTGCTGAACCACATCTACACTGGATAGCCTCTAGCTCCAAAAATGTAATTTAATAATTTATTAAATGCATTAAATATCCTTTAGTAAATTATATATTTGTTACCTCTTCTAAAGCTGTAACAGAATAATTTAGCCTAGCAAGAGACGGTGTTAAGTGAATTATATAATTTAAGAAAGAGGATATTATTTTAATTTTAAATGTCTGTAGAACAGGTAATGTCTGTAGAAATCTTGACAACTACTTGCTAGGAATAGCATGCAATTTTCATATTCTCTCAAAGAGCACTTCACTAGTAAGCATGATTGGTACTTTTAAACACTTTAGCAGTAGAAACAGCTATGCTAGCAGCAGTACAAGAAACAAAAAAAAACTATTTTGCTGCCTGGATGGTTTTGCCAAAGAACATGGGGTTGTTCTGTATTAAGAGAAAAACTAACAATTGAAACACATTTCTGCCATAAGTGATACACAAAGTTATGCACAGAACATAGACTGAAATAAGATACAGTGGGGTAACATAATTTGATCATCAACAGAATAAACAGATCACTTTGACTCCTTTGCTATTGCCCTCTTTGAATAATGTCCAGCAAGTTATTTTCATTCACAAAGTACAATGATATTACCTTTGACTATACTTTAAACACAGTACACTTAATGAAAATGTTCTGCCAAAAGCTCATAAAACAAGTCAAACAAATTATGGCCCCTTAAATTCATGCACTGGGGAACTTTTGATCCTTTTATTTATAGCTTTTATTTAGAAATAAAAGCTATAAATCTGGCAGGAAAGTCTGGTCTAGTCCCATCTTGATAAAATAGATACAATAGATTTTGTGTTACCTTGCACGCTGTCTCGCTTGTCAGTTCAGCATGTGATCCTTTGGTGGAGTAAGAAGTCGTAAAACACAAGGTGCTGTACGCTATAGAAGATGGGGATTTCCTAATCAGACACAGGAAAACGTGTTGCTGTGGAAACCTTCTGAGAACTGAGAATGAAACACCAGCTTTCCCCCACCCCACACCTCCCCCTTACTGACATCAGTATAATGACATTAGTTTTTGCTTAAAGGCTTGTGAGCACGAAATGTATGAGCTCTCTAAAAGTTCCTCTTTCATTTGAATCTCTACATCCTCTCTAATCGACCTCTAAATTAACTCAATGTCAAGGAGAAGGCATGCACATACTGTAAATACCAGGTTAGACTCATTAAATCATAGGCCAGCTGGGCCACAGCTATGATCTTGGCGAATTTATTAAATGATCATTTCATTCTAAAAGTGAGAATGCTATTACAATGCATTGAGAATCCTTTTATAGCACAAAGCAAAACAGATCCATGCTTGTCTTGTAGGTCAGTCAGTGCCACACTCTCTAACGTCTTGAAAGCCATAGAGTTCTGGCAGACAAGTGTGCTTTGGTGATATGCCATTTGTAATGTAGACAGATCAGAGTTGTAGAGCTTTCACTATCATTTCCTGGTTATAGAACATCAGATCTGCATAGGCATAAGTCCATAAATGAAATATAGTCGTTTGGCTTATAAAAACTTTGTACAATGAAATATAGTTTTTCCTATATTATTATACTGAGGTTTCCTCTGCTAAGAGCTCCTAAAGCAAAATTACAGAACTATTACTATATTCATATAGTTTTATATTTTTCAAATGTTTTTTTTATTACTTTCTCCTGGTATTTGTTAGTTCTTGTACAGTTCAATTAAACCACACACCTGTTACCTCACGGGACAGTGACATCAGACTCCACTTTCCTCAATAGGAGGGATCTAGTGTGAGAGCTGTAAAAGCTCCTAATAAACTCCACGCCAGATATGTCAGGTAAGAAAGGCTGTTGTCTCCATTAAGGTGGAGCTGCAGTTGTGTTTAACTTCTCTTTCCATCAGTAAGACCTGATTATTGACTTCTAGAATGACACCATTTACAGAAACTGTACTGAGCCTTATGAATCAGTGTAATTCTTCCAATCAGAGGGGAAAGCACCAGTGTTGCCTTTGACTACCATTCCTTCTCAGTATTGGATCTGTGGGCTCTTTTGCTCAGAATTCAACACCCAAACACTCACACAAGCCCCTGGGCCATCTGCCACAGGTTATTACTAATTCATCTTCAGTTTTCCCATTCACAGAGAGAACCTAAGAACACACACAAAAGTGAGGAGTGAAACCGAAAGTGTTCAGTGAAATAATTGGTGACACTTTCAGAACACAGTTATGTATTTCCTCTGCTGTACTGCAGGAGACTGATGACCTTCTTTTCCTCTGTAGAAACATAGGACTCAGGAAAAGGAAATTCTCTGGGAGAACTCACAGAGGCTCTCTAGATCAACTTTAAAATGTTGCCCCAGCATTAAAAATTCTCTGTAAGCAATTTTACTCTATCGAACTGAAATATATTGAGTTATTTAAATTGGAAATCATTTTGTCCTATATTACAATTTTGGCTTATTGTGGAGATATCTTAATAATTCATTTGTTTTTAATTTTAATGACAATGTAATGTTACATCAATTTCCCTTCTGGATCCATAAAGTTTTATCTATCTATCTAGCTATGTTGTTTAGATATCCTGGCTGGTCTCTCAACTATTATTGCTAAATTAACAACTACAATCCAGCAAGTATAGACCACTGCCATTACTAAATTGCATCTGCAATGCTGGGTGGGATGGTGGCATAGAGGAAAGTATTGCTGCCTCACACAGGTGGGGTCCTGGGTTCAGTTCTGGACATGAGTTTGTAAGTTCTCCTCATGTTTGAGTGGGGTTCCTCACCTAACCCAAAGACACAGTGGTGGATATATGGATACATATACAGTACAGTATGTAATGGAACACTACTTGGCATTTCATGAATAGAAACACTATATACTGTACTAATGTTTGTACTATTTCAAAGAGGAGTCACCCAGCCTCCTGAGAGTGTGCAAACCTCTGTTGCAGATGCTCAGCCATGTTTTCTTTTCTCCTGTTCTGCTCTGCTTGTATACCAGCCACTTTTGAAAACAAAAAAAGGGAAGTTACAATCGTTTTGTAAATGGCCCAGATTGACAAAGTTAATTTTAAGGTTCTTAAATCGCCCAGACTTCTGTTTTTTGCTGGCGAAGTTGATAGAGTGCGCAGACATTATCCTCAGGTTTTTGGGGGCTGAGAACTGCTGTCAATGTTGTCATTATGTCTGTAACACTGAGGCCACTTTTATGTCATTTTTAAGGAGTTTTAAATTACCACAATAACAGCAGTAATAAGGTATTGCTACATCGATTGCTTTGCTCTATGACGCTGTAATATATTGTCCATAATAATGTAAAAAATGGATACATACTGTATTTTTTCCAGTGTGGCTTTCTGAATTAGCAAAGATCATGAAAAGTTAGAGCAGTGGACAGTCTGGCTTTTGTTAGTTCAGAGCAGGTCTTCTACTTCTACGTTGCTGAATTTCTTAACTATATTTGTGATCTAAAACCAGGGCTCATGGAACAGAGGAGATATGGAGGTGCTGTAGGAAAAGTGTTGTTTCATTGGTTCTCTGAGTCTTGTGGAAGAGGTAAAAGCCAAGCACACTGTGCATGGCTATAGTACATTGAATTAGGATTAGGGATCCCAGCAATCAGTGAATGTTAATTTTAGACTGCCTTAGGCACATGGAACACAGCCATAATATATACAGTATCTACAAAAATCTTGTTATCAAGTCTACACTATACAGTATCTGTATCACAACCTTGTTTAAACACTGTTAAAAAGCTACAACCAAACATGAAAGACTACAAAGAGGCTCTCAAGACATTTTTGTATGTGTTGTGTAAGACTCCCAATGGTAAGATGAAGCCATATAATTTTATTTCTCAGTGTTCCCAAAGCTTTAAATGTTGTTGCAGACTGTTTGTTTTTTTCTCTGGTGGTGTCAAAATTTTATAGCTCATGGGGAAAATCAAATAATCCAGAACTGCATATATCTGAAGAAGGGATTGCAGAAATGAGCCTCAAGATAATAATAAAGATTCTTAAAGTAGTGTCCTCTGTTGCTGAAAATAGAGAACTGTCCTTCAAGTGCTGCCCAGCCCTTTTCCAGCTGCAGTGATCTTTCCTGCTCCCCAGTGGCACAGCTTTGAAGTTTCTCCAGTGCCTCTGCAGCCAGGATCACAGCCAGGCCCATCTGGAGAGAGAAGACTTGCTTTAAAGCACAGACCCTCGTCTAAAACAAATCATTGCTATGTTTCTAATGTCCGTATTTCATTCGTGACATCAGGGTGCTTGCAGTTTTCTCACTCCCTGGGAAAATCAAGTGTGAACGCAGAAAAGATTACAAACAGGATCAGCCCATTCTGCTTATCTACTGTAGCTGAGTGTGTAAGCAAACATATGTGCACGTGGGTGTTTTTATACCTGTTATATAAATCCAATATATATTTATCATCTGTTTATAAAACAAAAGTAACGCAAAACAGACTGATAAAATGTACATTGCACTCCTGGGCATGGTAATTACAGTCTATTATCATTGAAATATGTCTTGATCACTGCGCAACATAAGGCATTTTTGTTTCTTTTCTCAATTCAGTCCTTAAGATCTTCAGAATCTTTATGGCATCAGCTTGCCACAGTCCCCAAGGTACAAACCACGAAGACAGCATTGTCCTTCACTGTTTAAGACACTGTTTCCAAGAAGCAGGTCTCTGTGGTAAAGCTTTAGGCATACAGTATGTGCTACAGTATATGTGCCATATTTGTACATCACAAATCAGTTATGCATGTGTCCCATATTTTGAAATATTCTAATTTACAATTAAGTAATAATTTATAGAGTTATTTCTTATTTCTTTCCAATGCTTTGATCAAATACAATCCAGCGCATGATGTGCTGTAGATTTCTGTTTGTATTATTCTGCTGTGCAATGAAATAAATGGGTATTTTGCAATTCATCATTTATCTACAAGAGTTGATTGCTGTGATTATACAGTATATATCGGGAGATGTCAGAATAAAAAATAAAATTATACAGTATGAGCAGTGCAAGACAATTAAGTAGACAAGGGGCGAAAAATGTCAAATTGTCTCTCGTGCCATGTAGCTGTCTTGTTTCTTTGTCTTTCAAAATGAACACAATTCTCCTCTTTCCATTCTGATTTGGTTTTATGTAGTATTACTAATGCAAACATGCTGTGATCATTCTCGCTGCTCAAACTATTCAATAAAGACAGTGGATACAGAGAACCACTCTGATGTTCAGAGGAACCTTTAAAGTAGCATGTCATCTATAAAACAGGCCTCTGAGGTCACCTACAGTACCTGCAGCAAAAGCAGCAGGAGTGACTAGTACCAGAGGGCAGAATTTGAAAATAGCAACAGTCCTCCCGTTTGATCTCAAAATCACTCCAAACTGGCTTCACAATTTAAACAATAAATGAGAAAACAAGTGAAGCCTTGTTATCGTTTTAAAAAAAGCCACTATGACAAATCAACAGTTGTTTTTTTTTGCTATGCCACAGATACACTCAGGATATAAAATGAACTACTTGATCACAGAGACACAGAGACAGCCTGCTCAGCTCCTGCTCATTTTTACAGTTATCATCAGGGCAGATACATCAGATACCCCGGAGAACTTCAGCAGAAGACAAACTCTCTTTTGTATCTACAAGAAGGGATTGTGGGTGGGGGTAGAGGTTATGGGGGTTGTGGGAGGTGTATGTGGGGTTACTTATTTTCAAAAAGGGTGAGTTGAAGAAGTAATCTTTAAGTACCAGGAGGAATGTGTTTGCTCCAAGCTGTCAAAAGGAATGACAGTAAGATTTAAACCCACGAGCAAGATATAATTCCTGGCACTTTTTTAGCTTTATATTTTCCACACTTCTGTTTATTCTGACAGATGTGGCTTTGCCAAATTCTTTCTCTGATCCCCCACCTGCTAAGCTGGAAGAGGTTTAAAAAGAAACTGAGCTAAATGATTTTTCTCCAGATACCCCTCAAAAAAAGTATTGCCTTTTACAGGCTACATGTATTTTACACTACAGTATGCTAGGCACTGAAAAAAAAACTTTTCTTTGTGTGATATACAAACATAAAGCCTTATTATCACTTTATAAATGCTAGATCATTGTGTTTGTTTCTGAATGTATCATGAAATTCATGACATCCAAAGCATTGTTATTTGGTAAGTCGTTTTACACATTGTCCTGGATAGCAGAAGACAGAAATGTGTTTAGGACATTAACAAATGGAAACTAAGCTTTTTAGTGCAATAATAATGCTTTTTTTTGGGGGGGTATCTCTGTGTGAAACATAATTTTTAGATCAGACAAATGAATAGCACAGGTCTGTGCTTTATCAACACTGCCCCAGGATTCTTCTGATGTAATTGATATTCTTGTTGTTGTTTTGATGGAGTGTTTGAAATGATAGGATTCAGAGCAATGATCATATTATCATTACTCAGAGACTAAAAGCTAAGTGTGTTCAGCTGTGCTGGACCTGATCTGAAAGGATTTTGTTTCATATCACAGTCCCTGAGTAGTCATCTGCCGAGTTTAAGTACACAAATCAATTTTGCTGGTCGCAAGTGAGCCACTATTGGCTGATCCTTGAGTCCTGGGGAGAGGAGGAACCTTCCCACTGCAATTTGAAGTACTCAAGGGTCAAACAACTGCTCTAGATTTGAATTTGTTTGGTGAGGTAACAATTTAGAACAGGGAAGAGCAAAGCATCTGTACTCAAAAGGCGAGCGTTTTTTTTTCGATCATTTATCTTGAAATCTGCTAATTTGGTGCAGATTAAAAATGAGTGGGGTGAGATTTAGAGCGATGGGAGGGGGGCTTGTCTTTTGGGTGTAGTATATTTGTGCCTCCACATCAACTTTTAGCTGAAGTCATCTTATCACTCTTTTAAACCACTTATCTGTTCCCTCAAATGGAGAGGAAGATTAGCAACAGAGATCCCTGCAAGCATTTTGAAAAATAAGAAGCTGCTACAAGCAAACTGGGAGCCTGCCCTATCCCCAGCAGCCCTGAGCACAGAATGACCTCTAGAGAAGCACATGTTCTGGGTTTGATAGTCTGCGGGTGGCACACTTCACTAATCTGAAACAGACTGCAATAAACAGGATGTAAGCTAGCAACACAGAACATGCCAGTATAGCAAGACCCTCCTTCAAGCAGATCTCTCTGCTGCAGAGAAGACGACATTGCTGGTCAATGGCACTGCACCTCAGTCTTACATTTGTATTGGGTTTCCACAAGAGCATAGGATTTCTAACACATTGACTTACAAGCAATTGAAGAAGACATCGGAGAGCTGTAAACATCTTAGTGAGACCGTTGTGCTTGTTAAGATGATTACTGTTTTGGTCTGTAAGACTTCTTTGATCTCACTCTTTGAAACCCACATCCATAGCTAGAACTCTGCTAGTGCACACACTAACTTTAATGAAACAATCCATCGTGAATTTACTACTGTTACCAGCAGATTTAGTATCAAAGCAATGGTTCAGGCAGGCAATACAACTACGTTCCCACACAGAACTCAAAGCACACCACATCACTTCCCTTACCCCAAACATCATCACACCACAGATACAAAAATAGCACTCATTTGCTAAGTAACCTATCCACACTCACTACATGGCAAAGAAAGGTATTTAAACTACTGTAATGACTACTGTAATGCTCTACTCGCTCGGGTATCTAAATCTACTCTGAAAAAACTGCAGTATGTCCAAAATTCAGCAGCCAGAACCCTGACCAGGTCTAGTGCAAGTGTTCACATTATTCCTATCCTGGAGTCCTTGTACTGGCTTCCTGTCAAATTCTGTGTAGACTTTAAAATCCTCATGCTCACCTATAAGGCTCTGCATGGCTTGGTACTGACCTGTCTGAACTATTATCACCCTACTCCCCACCTGGCAACCTTCGCTCTTCAAATTCTGCCCTCCTTACTGTCCCCCAAGCCCGTCTACATTGTATGGGTGACAGGGCCTTCTCCTGCTATGCCCCCAAGCTCTGGAACTCTCTCCCCAAGGATATCAGAGAGTCACCTTCTCTAAACTCCTTCAAATCCAGACTCAAAACCCTCTTCTTCAGAAAAGCCTTTACTTAACTGGTTCCATTCTCCACCGCTCAGCTTTTTTTAGTACCACCATCCACGGTCTCCTCTATATATTGTAATTGTGTTTTATCTTGTGTATTCTTATTTATTGTTGTTGTCATCCTGTAAAGTGCTTTGAAAAGCCACCTTTAAAGGCGCTATATAAAATAAAGTTTATAATTATTATTAAAGCTACAATATATCTAGTAATCAATAGTACTGAGTATTTTAATATTCCCGATTTAGGGGTGTTCTTAGTATTATTTTTTTTGCTTAGTTCTTGTTCAAATGTTCTTTGATGTCAAGATGTATTTTTCTGGTCTTCTATGATTCAGACTGTGCCTCTGTCACCCAATTACTGCAGCATGCATTCCTCTTGTAAAAAAGCAATTTTATTACTATTTAATCTTATTCCGTGGCTGTGATGTTTCACTTCTGCTGTCTTTATCTCTCCCCTGTTACGTCCTAAGTCCCAGCTGGTGTAGGCAGCTCTCGGAATTCCAGTTTCTGTCAGTTTTAGATCTAATGTACCATCTTATTTCATGCATACATTGTGCTTGGGTTGAAGGAAAAATGTACCAACACTTGTACCTTTAAAGGTTTGGTACCAAGAAACCAAAAACCAAGAAGATCACAATAGTGCAAGCATTAGAGGAAATTGATTAGGGTTTTACTTACTGTTTCCTCAATATTTGTTCACAATCATGGCTACATTGTTGTCAATTTTACACTGATACTAAAAATCATAGCTTGTACACTATGTTACTGTTATTTGTTACTTTGATGTATAGAACGTTTATGATAATAGAATAAAACAATTAGATGTATGGAGGTAAAAATGCTGTAATCTTTCAAAGCTAAGCTTGATGATGTAGTACAATCAGTAAACAGAAATTCTGTTCTCATCATCTTTTATATTCTGACATTCATAAATGGAAACTAAGCTTTTTAGTGCAATAATAATGCTTTGTTTGTTCCTTTTGTTATTCAATCTAGTTTGCTGCATTGTGGACAAAACATACACATACATGCACAGATCAGGATAGGATTTCATTTTATTTATTGAGCTAGTTTTGTACTAAAACATTATAAAACAGGAGTTGGCAAAATGCTGTGTTTGGCATGTACATCGTTCTCACATGCTCTCAATAAATATTTCTCTTAAATAAGAAAAGTGGTTTCTTTTCAGCAGGAAGATTACTTTTAACATTATGAAATGACCTGAAAATTGTACATAAAGGAGAAGTTTCTATCATTGGTTTTCGCAATGTTTGCATTGGTTGCAAAATCTAATGTTTAGATGTGGCCTAGACTCTAAATGGCCATTGGAAAAGACTACTGAAAAGATCAATTGCTATAATCCTCAAATAAAAACTGACAGACTCTAAAAGAAATTGAGCCCACAATAAGCAAAATCATTCATTTCAGAAGAACTTCCTCCAAGTTCTACTATTGACAAGTAGGATACATGTATTAATCTGTAGTATTGTTATATAACTTAACTGCTTTGTTTATATTTAGGTTATCAGCTAGTCAAGGACTATAAAAGGAGAGACCTGATCTGAAAAATAAAGAATCTTTTTTGCAAAGGAGTAAAATAAATTAGTTTTCCCTTTCAATTAGTAACTAGGAGCTGATAAAGGAGCTGAAGGTCTTCTTTGGTTCAAAAGGTCAGCCAGTGATTCAAACTAAGAAGATGGAAAATATTTTTATTTGCGATGTTGCTGAATTTGTGAAACTGGTTAAGAGGCCATTCTGTCCTTGGATTCCAATCCCTCATTACGCGTAAAGGCGGCCACACACCAAGTGTAATCCAACAAGAAATATTCAAAGTGAGGGGAAAACTTGAATAGAACCAGATTCAGAAATGATGTAGGTGTAATAACCGCCAATGCCAGTGCAAAGGCCAGCATTATACTGGAGTGACATAAAAAAAGTCGAATCACATTTTTGCTGTTTCCTTACATGATAACTGTGGAATTGACAGAGGATTCAAAAAGGATTTTAACACAAATGGTCCACAAAGACAGGAAACTGAAAAATAAAATGTCAATATGTAACTTATATGTTGTTTTCAAGCATTGCGATTTGCATTATTTACTTTTACCTGCAAAAAAAGACTGTTTTGTTTTATGATTCATCACCAATGTCTAATGCGTCTAAATCTTGAGATCAATCTCAATGTATGGTATTTTAACAATTCTACCAAGGGCTTTGCATAAACCCATAAAGTAATATTTGACATATTCCACCAAAATGATCAACTATGTCTTGCGTTTTTCTAATTGCAAGCAAGGCTAAATTATTTTAAATGGTTGTTGATTTAAAATCTGTCAGAATCAAAATAACTTGGAACCAGTTTTTGTTTATACACTTTGAGAAGGTGTTTATACTCTTTGAGTCATAGGTGTTCAAAGTTCCGAAAATCTTTTTTTTTTTCGTTTTTTGCAGTATTTCAAAAAAGATACGCAAACAAAGGCATACGCATACACACACACCCAAATGTTTTTGACTGGTTGCAAAAGCAGTAATAGCATAAATTCCTTCTGCGGTTATTTTTACATCAGCACATTTTACATCTTGTTGCACTGTTACTATTTTGATTAAGGGGTGTTTAGTCATATTGCTAGAAATGTATTTTTTCACCAGACAAGAAAATTTCATCCCATTCAGAGTGTGATAGCCTTTAGAGTTTGATACAGATTGTGGACAAGATGTTTGACCACTAGACAGGTAACAGATTTAATCCAAATCCTAAACCTAACCCTTGTACTGTATATGGCCAACATCAGAACTCAGAGGAACTCCTTCAATGTTTTAAGTAGAAAATGGCATCTTTAATTTTAAAAAGAGACTGACGAGAAAAATAAAAAAAAATAGGTTTTGGTTTGTGGAACCCAATTTAAGTTGTGCATCTTTCTGAAGCCCAGTGGTAAAGAGCTATGCACCAAAACCTGTTGCACCAATATGCTTCCCTGGCTTAATTTCTGACATTTGGTCCAGACAGATCTTTTCAGAAGGAGGTTATGGTCTGATAAGTAAGGCAGAATGTATGAAGTTAAGACAGGGTTTGCCCAAGAGCACACAAAACAGAACAACAAGGGAGAAACTACCAAACTGAAAAATAAATAGATGATATAAACTTCCCCTTTATGTCTAGATGTGCAAATAAATACATTGTTTTTGTTTTTGTGAAACTATTTACAAAATATCATACAAAGATGAATCTATTACTAGGCCCCACAACCTGACTTTTAAGTCCCAAAAATGTCAAAATCGGATTATAAAAGATTAAAGGCTGAAACTTTTTGAGGAGAAAAAATTGAGAATGAATATATAATTGCTGTGCAGCAATCCATTTCTTTCAATATCTTAGAGACAGTAGAAGGCACTGTGGACCCATGTACAAAAGAAAGTAAACATGTCCTCGTGAAGAAGTAAGCCCTGTATTAAATGAATGTTTACCTAACAATGAAACACTGGACTTTTAAGTCAATGCTTGAAATACTGTATGCAAAAGCACAACAAGGACCACATTTTCAGCTAGTATTTTTAAATGAAGACAGATCCAGAAAAAGATGACCCCAGCTGGCCAGCTCTACTGGGTTCTAGGTCTTGCCTGACTTGTGATCACAGTCAGTAGTGATAGCAAAGAATCTGTGTTACGACTCCAGTGGCTAAAGGAAATAGCGCAAAATCAGTTCAGATTAAATTAGTCTGCTAGTAACACCTGCATAAAAAGGAAGACACTCCTGAATCAAAGTATGGGGTGAAACCACCCATATTTGAGGAATAACTGAGTATAAAGAAAGTAAATGGCATAATTTATGGTTGTTAATAAAATACAGACCTACTGCATACAGATATGACTGATATCTATACCTATACAAACCTTTTACCTAAACAAACAAAGAATTTGTGAATCATAAATCCCCTTAACAAAACTATACTGCTAAAAACCATTCACACCATTCTCAGAAAACATTTTCAATGTTTAGATTTTTTCTGCACTTCAAAATACTGTAATAAAACACCTTCCCTTTCATATAAAGAGTTTGATAAACTGCTTACGTAAACACATTTGGTGGCTTAAGAATTTAAAATATTTTCTTTCATTTATAACTAAATGCTAAGTCAAGATGACACAAAAATTGCTGGTTAAACATATTCGGATAATGGAAGCATTTGGCTTTCAAATTGGTTTAAAACTCAGTGTGTTTGCTAATAAAAATGTTATGGAAAAATTAATAAGATCACACTAAGAAAAATTCTTTGGAATATCAAGGCATTGTTTTATATTCAATAATTTAAAGAACAGACGTGAATGCACCTATGTATATGTCTACGAGGTACAAATTAAACTATGCTTAATACATGCCAAAGTTTGCAAATTGTCCTGAAAGATACAGTAGGACTAATGGGGACTAATGCTACACACACGGTTCTCACAATATCATTCTAGCTTTAAGGCTCTCCTAACTTGTTTGCTCGTCTTCACTGATGAAAAGCAGGTGTGACAAAATGAGCTCCTTCTTATGAAAGCCTACAGCACGCATGTTTTGTCTGAAACAGGGACACCCAGTGAAAGGTGCTGTTATCAATCAAGAGGTAGAAGATGAACTCAAAGGTCAGCAATACCGTTAAACACGTAATAACAATATGATTTTAATCAGTCCCCAATAAAAGCATTCCTTATGCTGTCTCTTCTACAGTAAGTCTTCCCCACACGTGATGTCTGCCATGTCTTTCTTAGTCAGTGGAGCCTATGTACAGCACCATGACACACATGACCACTGCCTTCAAGTACACTTCCCGATATGGTACATCTTCACCAACTTGTCCTCATTAAAATGTACTAAAGTTACACAGGCATGTCATGTAGGTGCGTATCTTTGCCAATGATCCTGTCTAAACACATCTTTTGAGGACTTTTACTATTTTTGTCTGGGGATTTTCTGGGACTAAGCATCTGAAGGAAAAAGACTGGAAGACTTTAAAATCAGTGCATGTGACTAAACAATGCAAAATTACCTGATAAAAAAAAACACAAAGGCAAAAAAAGACTGAAAAATAAAGAAAGTTGACTTGTTAAAAGAATATCTCAAATCTTTTGACTTATTTGTTTGATAAAACCAAGAAATATTTTTTGTTCCAGTGAAGCACTACAACATATTTGGAGAAAAGGAGACAAAAAATGAACAAAACATCGACCTACAAAAGGTGGACGTTGATTAAAAAAGAGCAAATCGGTTTGCAAGCAATAATAGATGACAATGAGGGAACACAAAATCTGAGGAAAATGGTGTGAATACTTTTTTCTTACTATAGTTCTGTTAATATAAATTTTGATTTACAAGAACCTTGTCTTTTTATTTAAACATACATATACTACCATTAGGTTTTCTGTAATTGCACTCCCGAAATAAAAAATTAATTATGATTTTCAGTTTTTGTTTTTTCAGGGAAATTTAAGGATATGAAATATTTATGCGATAAATACCATTTAAAAGTCTGGTGACACTGTGTAGAGACACAGTGAAGTTAGTGAAGAAAATGATATTGTTCATTGTTCACTATAATCCCTGTGTTCACTAATATCAGTATCAATCTGTATCCCTAAACAGACAACTGTTTTCTCTGCTACAATATACTGCAGACATTCATGACATCCTAATGCAAGCTCTGTTTGCTAGGAAAGATGAACAACGGTGCAATTTGTCTGATGCCTGATTAAAGTGATTAATATTCTTTAACACATTAAATATGTTGACTATGCTAAATACTTTTACTTTGTTCTATTTTAAAGTCTTGAAAACATCTATAGAGGACTTGGGGAAGCTATTGGTGATTCATGGACTGCTACTCTTGGCACCCCTGAACACCTATGCATTTCCTCTTTTAAAAAGTGTAACATATATTGATGATGAAAATGTCTGTTTAAGTTTTGTAAGTGGGATAGCTGGGAAACAGATACTCCTAAAACTAGGAGAGCTGTATAACAGCAGAGGAGATGTGTTGCCTCATACAGTAAATGTTAGTATACATATCTGAACTGCTGCTTAACTTGTGTAAAAAGGTTTAACTTTTAAATATCTACAATAATTCAAAGAAAGTGATTGTGCATTCAGTGAAACCTACATTTTTAATATGCAGGCCCTCCCATTTGTCATATCAGGCAAAACACAAACCTTATCCAGTTATACAACTATCTGAGAAAGAGGATACATTGGTCTGCCATCACTCTTTGGAGTCAATATTACTAAGGAGGAGTCAATTTCCTGTACAGGGACACAAAGATATTAGGAAATTAAATGATTCCAGTACAGAAGAATTAATAACATTGTTCTTTTTATCAGCCTTTGTATGGTGTTTCCAAATATTGAAAAGTAATATAGGTATAAATATACTATATAAATTAATGTAGTGTATAATTGTTAATGTTTCCTCAGTGTGTTTCATAAGTGTGGAGTTTTTTTGGACGTTTTATAGGTGTAGTGGGAGGAATATAATAGACTGGTTTAAAGAGTGGGATGCAGCTATTGTAAAGGGACAACTGCCCTCTCAATTAACCACTAACCACAATGGAAATGAACTCATCCGTGTAGAAAGATAAAGAATGTGGTGGTTCATTCTCAGCACCTAGGAGTGCATTCTCCCCCCCTTCCCACCCCATCATGACTCTTGCTGTTGCCTAAAACGCAAGATGTCTGGAGGAGATTCGGAAAGCTAAGGGACAAGAACGTCCGTAGTCTTTCGCTCCGGCCCGGGTGACTGTATATGAAGGCTACTTGCTTTAGTTTAGTTTGCCTGCTACACATTCCCATGAGGGAAATGCTGGGATTGCAAACCACAGTTGTAGTCCCTTTGAGAGAAGCCATTTGATGTTACAGAGTCTGTTGGTTCCCCTGCACCTCTGTCCTCCCTCTTGTCCTTCTTGGCCAAAGCTTGAGAGGTCACTAGTGGCACCCACAGGCCCGCACCACCATATTGCGGTATTTCTTCAGAATGACATTGGAGCTGTCATCAAAGTAGAGCACGGAGATAGCGTGGAGCTGAGTTGGGGCACAGCAGGGTTTAGGCACAAGTTTAGGATTAATGAAGTGAACCTGTGGAAGACAAAGAATTAAATGAAGCACCATTAGTTTAACAGGATTATCTCTGGCCCCCTGAAAACCAGAGTATAATTCATCTTGATGGTGAAGGGGAATGTTTTTTTGCCTTCTGAAGACTTCTGTATTCAACACTGAAAGGGAGAGAAGTGTTAGTTCAACCTGAAATCTTTTGTTTAGTGCTGTGTGTCACAGAAGAAATGATTGTTACTCACCAGTGTTTGTACTATGGCGTGGTTGGTAGCATTCATGTAGGAGTTGAGAGGAAAAGCACACTCTCCTTCACAGTAATATGCAGCATATCCCTCTGGAGCAATAATCCAGTCCTGAAGAGAAAGGGCAATATACTATATAACCATTCCCCACATATCTAAGATAATTGTTTTTCTTCTGTTCATTAGGTGACCCTACTAACATCCCCTACTATCTTATATCTCCAAAATCCTCTGAAGAATTACTCAGGAATTCATAACATAATAAAGGTTATAAATTAAAATCCCATCTACCTTTTTGGTTTCTAGTAGCTAATTAATCTGGGACTTGTCAAGCCATTTCCTAAATGAAGTGATGTAGTACTGGGTCATACAAAATATATGTTTTTGTTCTATTATGATCCTAGCACGCATGGAGTTACTGAAAATAAAACAAATTGTACTTATCATTCATATTTACCTTGGGGTCATAAATGCAAAGTGCTTGACTGTAAGGCAGACTTTGGCTTTGCTGTCCCTATGCTTTTGGTGGACATTGTTCACTACATAGAAATAGATACCAATGGACAACTCTAATACAAATGTATTTTATTCCAAACTAAAACATAAAGCCTATCTGATATAAATGCAAACATATATAATCTTGATAGTATGCAAATGGTAACCTTTATTTGCTTATATGAAATTATACCGTGTGCTGGATTCTGAAGAGGAATTCAATTAAAACAGCACAATGGAGTGAAAGCGCAGTTTACATTCATAGCAGGCAGTCCAGTTTCAATCGTCGGTTTCCCTTCAGGTTTAGCCATTAAGAAATAGTTCTCATTCAGAAACGTTTCAGTTCATGTACCTTTTGAGTACAACGTGATGTAACATTCTTGGAGTTTGGAAGTGCTAGCTAGAGGAAAATGTGTACTGTGGCCGGACGTCACTGACTGCCATACTACACAATAAGCAGGATTCTGTCATAATTTTAATACCTTTTAGGAGTGGATTACAAGTCGTAACAGATGCTGCATTTTGTGTCTTCATAGCATCACCACTGAACAGTGAAGTTTAAGCAAGATAAAAATTCATCAGGCCATGCCAACACAAATGAACCAGCAGTACAATAGTGGCAAAATAGGAGTTATTGGCCTCCAAACAGGCAAAAACTATTTTTTCACAGCATAACGGGAATAGTAAAAAATAGTAGATGATTTTCTCTTCTCTTTTGAGGGGCAATCCCCTATGGCTGTCCACTAAATATTGCCCATTATGTAGATATACAGAGAGTGTTCATTAAGGGCTGCTTCAGAAAACCCGTTCCGTCAGCGTTTTTATAGCTAACACCGACTAACGCTAACACTGCTGCAAGAAGGGAAAGAAAGATGAAAGCCCGGCGAGGGGAGAAGGGAGGGTGCGGGAAGAATGTGGAGGTGTGAGAGTGGTACCTGCCATCCCAGATCTCGAAAGCTGACGTAAAGTTCATGTTTCTTGCAGGCCTGCTTCTGGTCCGCGCTGCTGTTCTCTGAGGTCGGAAGAGAACAAACGGGAGGAGTTAAGCAGAGAGACAGGGATTCCCACAGAGGCTAAAGCCCTTTGAATCAGAGAGAAGGTCTCCCAATATGCTCCACATCTGTCAATGAGAGTTTCACATTTTAACGCACACATCAAATCCGACTAGTGGGACATTCCCACTGATTTCCATATCTCGTTCAGAATACCAGTGAGACACAGGTTTAACCTCCAGCTTGTATTCTTCCCCTGTAGAACTGGGGAAAGCAAGCTCGTGTGACCAATGGTGTGATGTGGTCCCTGACCTGGTATGCATTTTGAATAATTAGTAGCAAGCACCTTTTAACTCCCTGCCCAACAAACCTGTATAAGCAGGTATATTGCATTGAGAACAGCTGTGAGTCCACAGAAGTGCACAGTTACTGATTGTATGTTAGCTATACACTACTCTATGAAACACTGAAACAGTGGACTAAAAGGAATGTGGTTCGAAACCATAAAAGTTGCTATTACTTTATACAAATAGCTTTATCCATATCATATATATATACCTTGAAGTCTTGAATACTGCAGAGGATATTATGAAAACCCTTTTCCGATTTTAAACTGATGTTTATGAATTGAAAATAAGGGAAAGTAGTTAATCTTATTCGGCACAAATATCACTATCTTGAACTGATACCTGTGGAGTTATGAAGAAATGAAGTGTAATTAAGTGCTAAAATGCAGTGATGTTTAACAATTTTTATTTATAGGTGACCAGTGTGCTGAGTTTAAGCACTTGTAAAAGTTCGATCTGATCTTCTTTGATATGCTAATTTGATGTTCTCCCAGTGTCTTTGCCTCACAAAATCCTGGTGCCGACAACTATTTAGGACTTCACAGGAAATGAGGCCTTCAGCTCTCACCCTTAACACCACTCTTATTAGCATAACAGATACTTTCTAAAGTGTAGGCCCTTTTCACTTCTCGCTTTAATCTTATTCTAAATTGTATTTTTGTTCATTTATGACCACAAGACACAGAACAAAACACAGTGCCACACTTTATTTTAAAGCAGGCACATTGTAATTTAATGTTGGCATTTAGCTTCAGCCTTAACTATTATTATTATTTATTAATTACTGGTTATTTAATTTGACTAGTGGATTCTATGATATGCTTGTCAAGAACTAGGAATTTTCTAAGGATATGATCTGAGGCTTCTAAAAAGCAGGACAAGTAGACAGAACCCCAGGTTTAGTCCTTTAGTTCAGCAAATTCTGTACAGTAGGTCAACAGACGTTGATTTGACACAAATCAACAAAAACACAGGTAGGTTTTGTCAAGTAGGAGCACAGGTACTGTATGATTGAAAACCGGAGGGTGCTGTTATAGATGACCACACTACCTGCCATGTTAGAGACACGCAGAGCTTCCTGTCCTTTGGGGTTTTTGGAGCGGTTGGAGCTGCGCTGCTTGCTGTTGACTGAGCGAATGCTGCGGATGTGCACCTCGGTGGCTTTGAAGAAGGCCACCATGAAAGGCTGTTTGCTCTGAGGGCCACTGCGGCCAATCAGCCCTGCAACCCTGGGATTCAGACTCTGGCCTGTAGTGGGAGACAAAGAGACACAGAAAGGCTGGACCTCGTCTTTTCTTCCAAGCGCAAACGAGCACGTGTTTGTGAGGCGAACAAAAAAACAACAATGTGCAGGTTTATGGAATAAGAGGAATGCACATGAGGATTCGTTTTCCAAGCTCACAGCTAATATGATAAAATCATAAGGCCTAACCTCCATTACCCTTTTAACTAAAGTGGATTTCTATTAATCTTGGTTCACCTTCCACATCTACAAGGGAAGGGGCGGCACAGAACTGTCTTTTCTGTCTTGCTTTGAATCAAAGGACTGGGTCAGGGCTCCACAGAGTGAGTGAGAGGCAGGAATGCTGTTAAACCTGAATGAGTGTAGCACAGCCCCATCCCCCCCGGTCAGACACTTTGAGTGGGGTGAGTCTGTGGAGTGTGAATTGCATGTGTGTGGTGTGTTCACCTTTTACTAGACAAATCGCAAACGAAAAGCAGGATTGTCTGCTATTCTCCTATGCCAGACATTGAAAATTATGTGCTTTTTTCTAACCATCTAGACTCCATATGCATTTATACTGTAAATCAATGCAGAAGGAAATAAAGGGCTTTATCTAGTTTAATAACAAAGGTGAGTTTAGACGACTATACGCAGTAAACTAAAACTTTTGATTTGTTGTTCGATATACCATGCTCAAAATATGATCAAAATAAATCTCATAAGACATTGAAACATACGCATTACAAATGAAATTGAAAAATTGAAGTTAACATCTACTTGCCTGCTCACACTCAATCGCCCTTTTCATCAATAGCTTCCTTTTTTCTCTTAAGTACAATTTTTTTGTATGTATATTTTTCTAAAAAATAGTACCTTGCACCAATGGTTATATACGTATTTTCCGCTAAACTAGTCTTTGATTTAAAAAAATCATATTGAATTCTAAAAGTTTTAATACCTGTACTTTAATATCATTTTATTTGATGAATATAGTATTAAGTAGTGATGTTCATCAAAATGTCAATCGTTTAGCACATATATCTTTCTGAAATGCAAGAATATTCAAAAGTAATACCTGCCATTTCCCAATAAGTAGTTTTTTGAGTCATCGTTAAATTTATATTTGCATTAAATAATGCAATAAAATGTGTATTACATTATGGAAGCAACAAGGAATCGTAACATTGGCATGCTGACATACAAGAACAAGTTCCCATGCAGACAGCTAAGCATATAAAATGGGTAAGTAAAATGTTGCCTTAACTGGCCTGTTGAAGCAACTGGATGGTGGAAACTCTCCACTGAAGCCAGCTCCTCTGCTCATGAGCACAGGACAGGTAACTTACCATCCAAAGTCTCCAGTGCCAGCTGCAGACCCAGGTTACGCCCAGGGTTCAGTACCCAGTGGTTACTGGTGGCAGTTATATCAAATACCAGCCAGCCTTCTTCTGCCGCCCAGATCACCCGGGAGTCCAAGAGGAAGAGGTCAGATTCCCTGTGGCAAAAACATATACAGTACATTAGAAATCCTGCCATATTTCTAAAGGATTTCCTCACTATGAAACACACAGCTCAATTTAAGGAAGACGGCAGAAGGGAGTAAGCCTAAAGGATTTTTTTTATGTTGGTCTACATAGGTATGAATGAATACTTGCAAAAATTAGAGTAAAAACAAACATTTCTGTCTAGCAGCATTACAACATTACAAAAGGTTTGAACAATAGTCCAAAGAAGCTGAATTGTACAGTAATTAAAATTGTAATTAGTTGGTGATTTATGGTCATATGTGAATGCATAAAATACTATGTCTTTTATGATGGGATAATCGATGATAACTGAAAGGCAGAAATTCTAGCCACTGTGCCACTGTGATGCCTGTCACACTCTCCTATTACCAATAAAATGTAATCAGCCAAGTTTCAAGACTGTGCATGTTTGAGGGAGGCGTATAAGCAGTTTAATCTTCTATATCTGATGCTATTCTACCAAAAAAAGAGAAAGAGGATATCAGAGAAAGAGGTAGCATTAGAGACTGTAACGCTGAAGCAAAAACCACAAGAGAAATATGAACTGTAGATAAGGCATTTCAAAAATATTAACACTGGTACGTGGGAACCCTTATAGACCAGTCAAACAGAAATATTAAATAAATCACTGGAAACCATCATACCAAAAGGCAAGAACACAGCAGAAAATGAGATAATAAAAATCTCAGAGAAAGTGTGATGCTGAAGAAGTCACCATAAAAAACAAAAACAAAAACGGTGCAGACAATTCTGCTTAAGAAACAGGAAGTGAAGACAGGACATTGGCAGAGAGTTGAAAGGAACTGTAGGAAGTTCTGATGGGAACAAAATGAGGGAAAGAAGGACAGGAGACGGGGAAGCAGATAGTGAGAAAGATGGAACGATAACACCAGACGGAGAACCAGCGTTTCAGGCCCACCCAGGGGAGCACTTCATTACCCTAATTGAGAATAATGTGTTTCTAAATAGCTGTTGGTTTCACAGCGAACAAGCAGCGTCACAATAAATCAATGGGAGGAATTCTGGGGGAGTGCCTCAGTGAAAACACAGCCAGGGAGATGGAACTGCTGTGGCAAACAAGGAATTTCACCTCGTCTTTGACACTGCTCAGCATCTTGCCAAAGCGCACAGAGCCACAGACTGTGCTCAACAAAAGCCTCGTGTTGGATAATCTGACTGACACGCCTGTAACACGCTCTTATGACTCCCTTTATGAAGACTATACTTTTATTGATTTTTCTATTGAAAGAGTGAAAGGTCTGTTTTGGAGACGACGTTGTTTTCCCACAGATGTTTTTTGTTGTTTTGATTTTCTTTTTCATGCAGAAAAGGAAATAGTTGAGCGTGTTTTCTCTGTAGGGAGTGTAACCAGCTTTTCCAAGGGCCTGTGAGGATGAGTTACAGGTCTCTCGCAGGGCGGTATGTCTGGCTCACACCAGTCCCTCTGCTTGGGCACTGCAGCTTTGACAAACAATGGAATCTTTGAGGAGGAAACCACAGCTTTTGTCAGTGCAGATGGAAGGTAAAATAATTGCCCCTGTGGATTAACATTACCCGTTCCTGTCAGCTCTGTTTCACTGTAAAAAAAAGGCAATGAAACTTAAGAAAAGGTTGTGTAACATGACACCCACTGCAGTCTGGGCAAACAAGATGCTTCTTAACTAGGGAACTCTGAGCACTTTTGACCTTAAAGCAGAACCTCCTAGCCCAAACCCACCCTTTTTTAAAAAAAAAATCTCTGGGGCTCCCAAACAGATCAAATAGTTGTTTCCATTCAGGATTACCTCTATAAACCAGGCAAAGCCATTAGCTGACTGAGACCTTAACCTCCCATAAAGCACCCCACACCTGTCCAAGTGCTGTCTTGACTTAACCTGGGTTTGGTGTGCAATGGTGAAAGCAATGCATCACCGGACTGACAGTGTGTAAAACAACAAAGGGGCCTGACAAGTGCAGATTTCTAAACAAAGTGTACATCATCCTCATCACCCCTGTGTTGTGCCATTTGAGATTAGGGAGATACAAGACGAAACATACTTTAACGTAAGACGTTTATAACACTACATGACAAGGGATGGGGGAATTCATACAGAATATGTCGACCTTTAAGCACACAAAATAAAAACAAAATAAAATTGAGAAACCTGAAAACCTATTAGTAGGTCTCTGTAGTTCCACACACCTGAAATGCAGTCTTGATAGCACCACAGCTACCGCTGAATGAGTCTTATATCCAATAAGTGGAAGGAGAAATTGTCATAGTAAATTCAAATAGCACAGCAAAGATAGAATACAGTCCTAGAGGAAAAGAGGTCTGCACCCTGGTACGAGACATGCAAGGATCACAAGTCTGGACATCGTCCAAATAAAAAATAATTTGCTATTTTGGTAGTTTCTAATTTTAAGTATGCCAGTACCATAAGAGCATGATGCTTAAGGAAATTACATCTAGGCACCAGGTAACTTTTCATTCTAGGTTTGACATCTGGTCTTGTTTGGAATGCCTTAAAACTTATAAGTGTCTTTTTCATTCTTGTTATAACCAATTCATATAAACAAAGTTTGTTTTTAGCAAATTTCCTTTAAAATGTATTTGCTTTATTTCTCTTGTCGACTGAAACTTAATAAATCTGCCAAAATGAAGCTTGCCAAATGCTTCTTGCATATACGTAGTCCTGAAAATTTGTTATAATTAGGTGTGTTGATGTTTTCAGCTGGCCGTAGTGTCAGTGAAATTGATTAATTTGTGGTGAGATTTTTAAATTAGCTTCTACCTCTCTTTTTCCATTGCACTCACTGTGGAAGTCCGGTCAGCTATAAAAAAAAATCAAGATTTTTATTCCAGACTGAGTCCAAAGATGTTGCCTTTGTGTCATCAGCTTGCTGTACGTAAAATGTGCGTTGTGGTTTCTATGTTGATTTGGGGGTGCAATCCGATCAGAATACTTGGCTCAACACCATCAAGAACACGACAAACATATTTAGGAGATCAACCAAGATCACAACTAACCTGTCCGAATGCTCCTCCAGCACCTGGTAGATGCTGATGCGGAAGGTCTCGTTGTCGAAGTGCTCGTGGATGACGTCCTTGTAGATGCGGAACTCAGCCGCTGTGACGGCCTCTCCCTCAGGGATGCGAGACAGATCGAACCGGAACTCTCTGTGGTGGCGTCGCACTGACAGGAACTCCTTGTCGTGCTCAACTGGGGACCACAGACAAGACTGCAGTTTAGTCGTGGCACCAGGTTTTTGCCACAGCTTTTTGACACACCTGAGTTGTAAGATATTTGTTGACGCCCTGCCGCTACGTTCGATGTGCGACTCTTCTGGCAATAGAAAAACCTGCATTTGTAAAGAGTCTCTTAAACCCCTTAGCATGCCAAAAAATAATCTTACTATAGGTAGCTGCAGTATTTTTTTTTAATTGCTGGACATTATATGTTTGTAAGTAAGGTCAGTGCGAAGGCGCATGCTTTAAGAGTATACGCTGCACAGCCTCAGGCAAAGTACATGAGCCCTTAGAGCAGTGTCTGGACAAGGGATGTGGAAATTCTCAGCTCCATGCAGTGTGAAAAATATTTTGTTGTTGCCCATAAAGTGTCTAATTTCTGCACAAGTATCCAGCGTTCTCTTTTGTACCAGAGCAACTGTAACAATACTTGTTCTAATCAACATGTGGATTGATCAATCTGGTTCTCAAGAAACACAACTAAGTGTAAGCAGCTGTTGCAATGAATCATGGGGTTCATTAATATGAATTACCTATGGCCATTTCAAAACATAAGAAATAGTTAATATGAACAAAACAGCCGTCCATGTTGTCTGCAATGAGTTGAGTCAGTTGAAGCTAAATTAAAAGCCTCTCAGAACGTTCTGCTTTCTAGCAATTTGAAACAGTCACAAGTGCTTAGATTTGCAATGATACTTCTAATTTCATCCATCCGTTTTCATACAATTCATACAATTCAGGGTGGCTGGGGATCTAGACACCCCAATACCAAGCAATGGATACAAGGCAGGGCCCATCTCAAGCCAGACACAGACACACACACTCACATCAGGGCCAACTTTCCCAGAAGCCAGTTAACTCACCAGTATGTCTTTGGACTGTGGCAGGAAACCGGAGCAACCCACATGGATACGGGGAGAACATACAAACTCCATACAGATCGCATGCCAGGAATTGAATCCAGGGCCCCAGTGTTGCAAGGCAGCAATGCTAACTACAGTGCCACCATGCACGTCTTCTAGATTGATTTAACTTCAATATAATTTTGGATAAGTTAGTTGATACTACTTACTATGTGCATTGCTATATTTACTTATGTTCAATATAGTTTTGAATAATGGAAGAAATGATATGTTTGAGACTCCTTCTTAGCCTGAATGGAATTGCTGTGTGGTTGTCATCTGGATACAATAAGAGACCTATTTAGCTGAGCCCACTGCACATCTCTCCAGCCATTCTGGGATCTCTGAGGTCAGTACCTTGTCTCTCATCATTGCTTAACTTGTTTTCCCTTGTCATTATCAACTCTCTTCCTCTCCCTTTCTCCTGCCCTTGTTAATCTTACTCAGTGACCCATAGCTAATGTATGGAAAGACTTTACCCTTCAGTCTCTGTTTTTTTGACCTCTTGCATTTATCAAATCCAGTTTGGCCTTTGCCACTGAAGGGGTTTGAGCAACTGGCTTGTACAGCAATCAGATGACTTCTTAATAAGAGTTCTGAAAAATTCAATCCTTCCGAAGCAATGATACTTAGAAGTTAGGGATTTTAATTGAAGACTCCTGGTGTAGAAAAGGCCATTTCAATTATTATACAGTACCTCTTTTTTCACTCTTTCAACTGTTCTTAATCATATTGCTGTTGAACCCTGGCCTGTTGAACCTTTTGGCACAACTGCAATGCCATTACCCTTGCCAAGACTCTAACGTATGGGGACAAACACTGGGCTCTTTTCTTTTGCATTTGATTTAGTAGACACCAGAAACTTCTGTTTACTTGAATGCTAACATACAGGATGTGGATGAGTAACTTTCACTTACTGTAACAAAAAAGGGAGAAAGTCCCACAGCAACTCAGACAGACGTCCCTTAGAAAGGGCATCTTCATACAGTAACTAATCACATGAGGACTGCCCTTCATCCATCTCCCCCTCTCTCTCTCTCTATCCTCCTTTCTCACAGATGGGCAGCACAGTACAATGGCCACACTGTCTGCAAAGAGCGCAGAAAGGCATGGATCTAATTACCTTTCAATAGGAATGGATAAAATGAAAAATCTTGAGTTCCTGTTCCCCATTAGCAGAGGGGTTTCATGCCTATTGTCCAGTCTTACCAAAGCACTCACATTGTTTACATACTGTTTTCACTTAGGAATTGCCCTCAGTACTACTGGGAAACTTAAAATAGTAAAAACCACTGCAATGTCAGGAAAAGAAAGCAATGCACATACTTAATTGATGACCAAAACAATTTCAGCACAGGAGAGAGCAATATTTCCCGTTTTTGTGCATAGAATTTCACCATGCACTCCTGAAACCCAAAAGGTACTCTGATGCATTGGTATGTACTGTACTACACTAAAGCCCCAGCCTGTAAATTCGCTGTGACAGAAAAGCAGTCCTTTCTCAGCACTTATCCAGCCTCACTACTTACCCAAGGCCTTTTAAAAATGGGCATTATGACATTTTTAATGCAATCAAAATCCCTCTCAAAAAACAAACCCGTCACAATTTTCCAGAAAGGAAAAAAGTCCTTACACAAGTGAGCTTTCATGGAAACTACTTCAGGCATAATTATTATATCCTGCAACATGTTTCCTGACATCAAAATAAACACATCTGAATTCTAGAACATATCTGTAAAGAACATTTAGCAGTTGCTTCCATGTTGATGATGTGTTACAGATGACGTTTACCAAGCTGTCACAATCTCTATCCTGTTCTCACCATTGATAAAGCCCTGGAATGTGTTAAAAAAAAGTCTAAACACACACATTTTACTGTGATCCAATCTAAGTGAAATCATGTGCATTCCTCATATTTATGTTTGTGCGCTCTCTCTCTGTAAGGGTGGATGGACAGTTCTCCGGTGAACACTGAACATAAAGCCTATCTTCAGAAGGTGGCACGAAACATGAATAGACAAAGATTAAAAACTATTCCACGCCAAAATTCATTTGCAGTCTGAGCTCAGTTCAGGTTTGAGTGGTGATGGTCTATTCTTCTGTGGATGATTAGTTCTGTTATGTGTGTGTGCACGTGAAAACCAATTAACTACACCCAGCCAAGAAATCCACAAGGCACTCTCTATTGCTGTCTCTCTTTAAGGAGTGATAGAAAGACAACTTTGCCAATTCCTGCCGTCGATATTCCCTTTTAATCTCTTTTGCCCTAGACATTGTGGAGGACCCTCTGTTTCTAGTTTCAGTTAACTATCAGTAATAAATCACAGTACATCATTGGGCCAGGGCAGCATTGACTCAATCCCCCTGCCTTTGCCTGCTCTCCCTCACAATTGGCTTCTCTCGGTCCTGCACAGACTGCAGGTGCAGCAGCCTCTGGGACACAAGGACCTGTTATCCCAGTCACAAAAGGCAACTGGACCCTTAATCTTTGAATCTGCCCCCTGTACATCAAAAGTCCTTTATTCGCACTTCTGAGAACAGCTGGCTGCAGCTGTGAAATACAGCTTAACTCTTTCCTTTCTTCCTTCTTACATTCGTCTCGGGTTTCTCTTATACCTTCCCTCCACTTGCCCCCCTTGCCCCCATCCTCATTGCTGTTAGTCTCCCATCTGTTGATCAAAACCACCCTTAATAAAACTGCTCCCGGTACTTTTTCATATTCGAATGAGCTCCTGTTTTTATACACCATTTATAAAGTCACATGAAAAGGTTGTGGCTTTTCCTTTCCAAAATGAACAGGGAAACAAACCTAGGGTGTGTGTTATTCAGCATAATGCTCCCACTTTAAAAATCAAACAGTGAGCGTCTGTTTCATTTGCATGAGAAGAAGAAAAGGTGTGACTCAGTTGTGTTTTCGGCAAATGTTATGTTTTTGTGTGGAGAAGTATTCTTGTACAACTTTGGGGGTTTTACATTCAGGGGCTTAGGGAGGACAGAGACATTGTCTCCTGGCTGTCACGAGCTTCATCCTCTTCTCTACGTTAGCCAACAGGTCTAGTAAAAATTAAGATGAGGACGCTCAATAGTAATGGACCAGGAACAGCAAAAGATAAGCAGAATTCTTTGGTTTTTAGTAGGATTATCAATATCATGCATGCCTTTTTAAAAAAAAATAGCAATTCCAAATCTCCAGAATTCTTGTCCAGTTCTTTTTTCTGTGGCTTTCTGCCATTAGCTCCATGCTCTGGCCTGTTTACCCCAACGAGCAGCGTCTAGTTTTCCATCTCTCCTCCTTCCAGCTCTCTCTCTTTTCTGAAGCCCATTTCAAGGGTATGGCAGTAATTAGAAGCCCAGCAGGAATGCAGTTAAACACAAGTGAGCGCGTTTATTGCTTCCTCTGAGAGGAAGCAAGCGCCCATCGTAGTGGTTGCTCTACCTGCGTTAAATAAACATTTAGAGGAGAGTGCAGGGTTTAAATGGCTGCCTGAAGTAACCCGATGCCTGACATCTGCTTGCTCCTTCACTGCCCCTCTAACTTCACGGGACTTCCGGTGCTCCTCGCTAACCCTGCTGTAAGCATGCACTCACTGGCTTTCTGTAGTGCCACTCCCTGTGCTACACAATGCAGAAGAAGCACGCCTGAGCTTCCAGCTTAAGGATAACCTCTAGAGCAATGGGGTAAAAGTGTTAAGGAACTAGTGGCAGTTACTGCTTTTTGTCTGCAGCTTTTTCAATCACAGCATTTAATTAAGATGGATAAGAGAGGCAGATGAAAAACACACGTACACAGTGGAGCTACTGTCTTTACAAACTGGAGCCAACTGCAGCTCAGGGCAGTTAAACTAATTATTATCCTTGAGAGGATTAATCGTTTTCAAATATTTTAGGAACAATTTGTATATAAGACAATTTGTATATAAGGACATGAGGGAAAACTATTCAAAGACCTTTAAGTGGATTGTTTCATCTTTATGTAAAAATGTGAGCTGTACCCACAGAGTGGAGCAAATGTAACACCGATTCACAAAAAGGAGGGACAAGACTGACAGGAAAACTGATTTAGAATGGTATG